TTTTTTTTTTTTTTTTTTTAAGGAGTTTTGTCAACACTGTATTGAGCGAGGCCAACACACGGGTGCGGGAAGTTGTGACCTTGATATTACGTAAACAGCTTGACATACACATTCCCAAACAGTCTTACACCGCTCAGGACCTGCCCGTGCCTTAACGGGAGGTGTTGAAAATTTTAGGGGACGTTCACAATGAATAAACTATTGCACTCGGTAGATCGATCCAACTTTGCGCTGAATGCAATCATTTTAGCGAATAAACACGCCCACTCTTATATCCAATGTTCTCATATAATCATGTACTACTTCTTAATTTTTTACTACTCAACACAGGGAGACGGCGTGTTAACTAATTGCATTCAGCACGAGTCCCAGCAGAGTTAGGTCGAACCACCTAGTTTCATTGTGAACGCACCCTTAGACATGACCTTGTTCAGGGCTCTAGCCTCGTCTCTCAGTCACAGCAGAGGTTTTGGGGCAGACTTCTCACCAACGGCAGCATTTAGAGCTGGTTCTAGGATTTGAGATCATTGACAGACCTCTGGATTTCACGGTACGTACACAGGGTTCTTGTCAATGTGCATTACCCACAACACTTCGAGTGTTATGTGTTCATTAAAGAAAAAGCAATGTGCCTGGGACCTGCAACGTAATTAAGCCAAATCTACAAGGAGACATACTGTATTTATAACAAGGACAGAGTTCTGCAGATTCCCATCTTTTCAGTAGTCATCTGGAATTGTTTCTTTTCTTGTTTCTATTTTGAAAGTAAAATTACTAAAAAAGGATGAAACAGAAACAATTAATTGAAGGTAACGTTTTTCTCAGTTTTGGTCGATCTTTGAAATGGTAATCGGATGCCAAGTGAGAGACCCTGGCCCCGTTCTCTGCAGCAAGAGGTAGCGGGAGCAACGGAAACATAAGCCACTGCGGATACAGATCGCTGCTAAGATTTTTGTTCTTATATCATCTTTCATTTTTCATCTTTCATAATCTCTGAAACTCATGGTGGCTTTCTGCTAACTGCTTAAATATTTTATACTAAGGACTTAGAACAGCAAACTCAATACCAAGGGTAGCAAGTTGTCAATCTCTATAAGTAAACTGACCAGCAGTCAATACCAGTGCAGTACTATAGCAGGTATATAAACCGCTGGATGTGAGGGGGGATTATGCGGACCGGTAATTCTTCCAGAAGTTGAAACGATTCTGAAGAAAACAGGCACGTATGTTACACGCAGCCCCCAGCTCTCTCACTCCCATCCCGCAAATAAAATCTTTCCTGCATTTATTCCCCATATGAAGCCATATCAATACCAGATGTTTGAAATTTGCGGTCACATGAGAAGGCTCGGTTCGTCCCATAAATCTTGAATTACACATTATTCAGAAGCAATACAAACTCGCTCCGTTAAAAAAGAACGCTTTATTGATGTCAAGTTAACTTTTCGATCAGACGTTACATTGCAGATGTACCAGTAAACAGCAGATTAAAACGAAAACTAAGACATTAAGGCAGAAAACATAATACTAATACCATATACCGAAGGATACGATGCATGCAAATATTCGGAGTATGTATTGAAAGATCAGAAAAATTCAAGGCAGGGTATTTTAATGCCTTCTTAAATAAACCTTAATCCTGCAAAGGCAATTAATGCCCATATCAATTACAGCTTGTATGACCTAGTAAGGCTGCAAGAGAGCCGAATCCATATCAGGGAGCATTCAAAAGCACTTGATCTCCGGTCCAACTAGTATGCGGATCAAATATGGCGCGAACTTAAAAGCAGGCTACGTGATCCCCTTACAATAATTTAATGGACCCACTGCCTCCTACGCGCGCCGTTCCAGCAGGGGCAGAAAATTTTAATCTCGGCACGTTTTAAAGTGGGTTGCGCGGTATTTGGTGAGTGGATTAGTAAGACCGAGGACCAACTGGTTGCAAATGCTTCCATATATTCACCATGCATGCAAGGTTTCCAAATGCCCGTTGTTTATAGATGTCCGTGTCAGAAATCCCGGTGTGCTATGAAATGCAGGATGGGTATCTGGGAATTTATTGTTGTTAAACCCAAAGAGAACTGACGGTGGCAGGATACGCCGTGTTTCAGCGTCTTACATGTATGACAATTCATCTTGAGGTTGAGTCTTGAGGCGAATTCACAACAAAGTCCGCGGATCCAATATGACCTACCCACTTGAAAGCTCGCCTCGTAATTCCCTATTAGACACTTAATAGATTCCCCGCTGGGATTACGCTGTAAGCTTTCCAGTTAGTCCGCGGATCAACTATGGTTGTGATTGCAAGGCAACAGGTGGGCTAGGGTTAGCAGGCCCGTAGTCAGCAATTTCAAAAAGGGGGGGGGTTCTTTTTCTGAATAAGTGGATCTTTTCTCATAAAAACTTCATGTACCTAGATCTAATTCTACCCAGAGTGGACCTTTTCCCAGCAAAAGGGTCGGTTCTTTCGAACCCCCCGACCCCCCCCCTTTCCGGCTACGGGCCTAGTTAGCCACTTTCAGAGCCCAGATACTCAGGGTACCACATCCATCTCACCATTTCCCTCACACTGAATTCATAAATGTGTATATAACTTCAGACCAGGGGAAAGATCTCCATGTTATATCACCACGCTTGCTGCATTGAAAGGTTGCTATGTAGATTTGCAGTGGGATCATAAGAGGAACAAACAAGTAGACCTTTTTCGTTTTTAGGAATTCTTTTTATCGACAGTCATGGCTTTTGTCACTTTAATTAGTTTAGATTATCAGTAGGGAAGCCTGGAGATTAATAGTGCAGCGTTCGTTCACAACAGGAATCTGACTTGGCAGAGGATATGAGTTCAGAGTAGCCGCAGTAAAAGCCAAGATATAATCTCCCATTCATTTCAACATCAGGTTTGAGTGCTAGAAGGTATTATATTTACAATATGTACTAATTCTTACTTAAAGGGCTTTAAATCAAAAAAGAAACGTTGTTAAAGTTTGTCAGCAAAAACAATAGGCCTTTGCCACAGACGCACGATTCAAAAGCTTGGGATTATTTTAAACAGAACCATACAAACGTGGCCTGGGCGAACAGTTTATGGCTGCGTTTTGAATAGAGGTTATCTTACTAGCAAGTCAATGTAAGCAGCTTAATTGCCTGGTAACTTAAAGTACTTGGGTAAAGTCGGGACATTTTCGTGGTCCATTGATGTTGCTTTGTTAGGGGTCGTGCCAGACAATAAAGCTGATCACATATCATCTGATTTATCGGTATGTTTTTCAAATGTTGAAATAAGTAGGCTTATTTCATCTTTTTTTTTTCAGAAAGGACAGTAAACTGCAAATCTTTGGTAACAGTCTCCTGAACAAAAATGACGTCCAGTGGAAGTCGCGGACTGCTTGTTGCCGTCATTCTGCTCAGTGTTCTATGCGTTGCATTAATCATCGGCCTCATCGTGATCGGTGTAGATCGGTCTGAGCTCAAAGACAAGATGGCCGCTCAAGGGCTCCATTCAAACGGGAAAAATGAATGGCGAGTTACTCCGAGCACGCCTTCCGTTTTCGACACCTTCAGCGAGGCTGAAATAAGAGAAATCAAAAACTTCATGCACAACCAAGCCAGCCTCAATCTAGTGCCAATCTCTGAGGCAACTCTATCAAGCAATTATATTTTCTTGATTGACCCACTTCTCCCGCCAAAATATGACGTCCTCAGTCACCTGAGCGGCGATCACCAGGCACCGGGTCGTCGTGCACGTGTGACGGTGTTCAAAGGAGCCAGTACGCCCCCTACAGTAGAGGAGTATGTGGTGTGGCCGATACCGAAAGTTAACATGTAAGATGTAGTACTCATGGAATCATGGTATTAATTGACTTTTATATGGGAATTTTTGTATAAAAATTGTGTTAAGAAGAAAAGAAAACAGTTCAGTAATTTCAAACATTATAATAGATAAATAGATGATTAAAAATTGCACGTTTGTTCCTTTTATGTTAAGCCTACTGAATATTTTAATGAACTTGATTCTTTAGCTAAAATTAGAAGTCATTATTACCATTATTATTATTATTATTTACGCTTCTTTAAATGTGGTTTTTATTTCAGGTTTGCCTTGTTAAACAACTCGGCTCAGACCAAGCAAATCCCGTGGAATAGCCGTCCAATGGACCCTGTAGAAATGACAGCACTGGAGAAATTTGTTCGGCCTATCTTGGGAAAACTGCGCCCTCTGCTTGAGCAAAGTTACGGATATTGGTACGGCGACGATTGCGGAGACAAATGCTTAAGGATCGCTTACATCCCGAGGGGTATCGAGTCTGGGGATAGGAAGGCTATTATTTGGTTCTTTCGCAATAATGTTGACGGGTATTACGTCTGGCCGACGAGTCTGCGCTTGCTCGTAACCTGTGGCACAAACGATCCCAACCAGTTCGTTCTGGACTCAGTATACTATGAAGGAATCTCTCACCGCACAGCCGAGGAAGTGCTCGATATCTATATAACGACACGTCAGCAGGAAATCCGTAAATACCCTTTTCCTCCAGGAGGCGCCACTCACGGATCACCGGAAGCACGTGACAAGAAAGAACCCCAGGGAAGCCCTAAAAGACCCCCAATGCAGGTTGAGCCGGACGGCAGACGTTTCCAAGTCGACGGACAGCATGTAAAGTACATGGATTGGGAGTTCAACTTCCGGCTGCGCACCGTGAATGGGCTACAACTGATGGACGTTCGCTTCAGAGGAGAGCGGATTGCGTATGAGGTCAGCATGTCTGACGTGGCCGTTTTGTACTCTGGCGACGCTCCTGAAGGGATCTTAATCCAATACGTTGACGCTGGCTTCTCCCTTGGCGCGCTCCATTTCCCTGTAGTGAAAGGCTACGACTGCCCTGATAACGCCGTGTACTTTAACAACACCTTCTTTGACAGTGTTTCCGGAGACGCCAAAACCCACGAGGACGCCCTGTGTCTCTTTGAGCACAACACGGCATTGCCAGTCCGTCGGCATCACTCCATGAACTTCTTCCCTCTACAGCCGGACCTCGAGGACCCTTACTACTACCGCTTCAGCATGGCCGGTACTGTGTTGGTTTTACGCGGCATCGCCACTGTGTGGAACTATGACTACGTTTTTGACTACGTTTTCCATCCGAATGGCGTCATAGAAACCAAAGTCTCTTCGACTGGCTACATTCAAGCGTTTACAACTCGCGACGATTCCAAGTACGGCTTCTACATTGACAGGGATTTTGGCATCACGGGGAACCTTCACCACCATTTGTTCAACTTTAAAATCGACTTCGATATCGGTGGCCAACGAAATTTATTTGAGACGTGGGATTTGAAGCTTGATGAGACCCAACGGAACGAACTGATCCGCGGGCGAAATGTGGCAATGAAGCAAAGATATATGGAAAGGAATTTAAGAAGAACAGAGAGGGAAGCTCTGATTGATTACAATTTTAACGAACCCAAGTATTACGTGATGTACAATGAAAGAACAAACAACTCGAATGGCTATCCGCGTGGCTATCGCATTTACTCGCCCAACTTCTCCAAGAAGCTCTTCCCAGATGGGTGGTACTTCGAAAACGGCGTGTCTTGGGCACGCCATCAGCTCGTGGTCACGCGCTACAAAGATGACGAGGACACGTCTGCCACCTTGTGGACCCAGGGCGACCCCTATCGACCTGTCAGAAAGTTTTCCAATTTTTACGAAGATAACCAAGCAATTGTGAATGAAGATTTGGTGGTCTGGGCCTGCATCGGACTTCACCATATCCCGGTCGCGGAGGACGTCCCGGTGACAACCACTCCTGGCAAACAATTGTCGGTCATTCTTGCACCTCTAAATTTCTTTGACGAAGACCCGTCCATGACGTCACGCGATGCTGTAGTGCACAGGTACCGCGACGAAAACTAAAGTAGGAATTCTACAACAGTGACTCTCAAAAACATATTTCTGATATCCTTTTGTTGTTGAACTTTATTTGAAGTAAGGACGTTTAGATCAATAAGAAAAAGAACATCTTCGCGTACCGTGAACTTTCCCATGAATTGCGCATGCGTCATTCCTTACTCACGTCGTTTCACGCGAGACTTGGAGATTAGTGAACAAGTTGTGTGTGAACTGCTTTTGTTCTTAAGTAGATCTATGCAGATCCCTTCCCTACAGGACATTCTGAGGAGCATCTAATGACGATCATTTCCTGTCCGAGGATGCACATGATGAATGTCCGTTAATTTACTTACCGGTGTGAAAAATGGAAGTCCACTAGTAATCGTTGTCCGCTTCCCATTGCTTTGCACAGGTGGTATTTTTCCCGTATCCTTACCCCCAAAAAACTATTCGTAACCTGTACTTATCATATGGGAGCCGGTACCTCCGTTCCTAGGACTTCCATTCCTGTTATACCGGTACCGCTTTTATAACAGCAATATCTAATGCATCGGTTTCTTGTATTTTACCAGATTGTTTTGAATTTATATCTTAATTTTTAGTTTAACTTTAAAGAAATGATGAAATCTCTTTTTTCACTTGGTTTGAATTAGAGGGTTACGTGTATAAGAAGGCGTAGTTGAGCATTGACATACATAAATAAAATAAATAAATGAAACTACATTATAGCCTTTCATATCATAATTTCCCCATTGAAGTTTTGCAACTGAAAAGTTATCCTTGGTTATCATGGATTTGTAACCATATTTTTTCCTGAACGGATTTCACGAAATTGAGAACGAAAAATAGACTGACTGCATGATCAAAATTGCAATAAATAATACATTTTGGTAGTACAATACTGTGGAACGTTATAATATTACGGCTGGTATTGCCACTTTAATAAAATTATCACAAATGGACAAATTCTAACTCAAATTCTATCAAGCTATTGCCATCAGGGGGAATATGCCATTGTTGATGACTTTCATATTTGCTCGATCAACACAATGCAGTTATTGCGCACAGTCATCGATGTCACACCTATCGCATTTGTAAAGTCAAAGACCGTTTGCAACCCCTTATGTTATGACGCATAACAAAGGAAAGGACCATGATCATAAAAAAATTGAAACAAGCTTGTTTTTTGAAATGTTGTAAGATAGAGAGTGATGTGTAAGATGCTTATTAAAAAGTCATTGTCATTGTTGGGGCCATGTTACTGGATAGAGAGAAGGGGAAGGGTTTTATCCGCCATCCAACCTCCGTTTCAGGTTGAACGAAAACGAAGGAAAGCCTGGATCGTAAAGTTGGAGAGAGGGGCATCAGGCAACTGTATAAAAAATTCAGGAAAATTTGGGTCGACACATTTCTCAAAATAATCATTAATTGCCTACCTCATTAATGAGCAAATATGTTCATTAGCTTGGTAGTTGTATCATATACGATGATTATAAAATACAAGCTGAAAATGGAACAATACACATGTAAATATAACTCATTTTTATTTAATTTTATAATTCTAACAGTATGAAAATATCTCAGCTTGTGTTTTATTATCATCATATATAATCGTTTATCTCGCGGTAAAATCAAAACGAGTTTTGAAAATTTTGTGTATATTTTCTTCTCTTGGCCTATGCCGAGTTAAGGTCTAGGATTACATCTATTCTTTGCTTTTTTGTTTTGAGCAAAAATGCGATTTTTCCCCAATGGATAGTGTGTTGTCAGAAGTTACGTGTCACTGAATATTAGAATTGTGTTTCCAAGATCAAAAAAGAAGATTTAAAAGAAGTAAGGCGCAGTTAAATATTATTTTCCAGACAAATGGCGGTAGAGAGGAAAGGGAGGAAAATAACATGGCTGATTAACTAAACACAATAACAAAGGTCTTTATTTAAGTATGAGCGTTGATTAAGCTTTTATCTTGCTGTATTAATAATTAATCGAATCATAGATATGAGTGACATCACCATAAATCGCACTGCGACACAGGCGCAGGGATACAATGTTGAAAAAAAAAAACGAGAGATCCCGCTGATCGTCTGCTGTTCTACGTTAGTTCGCCTGCGTTTAAATCCCTGTCGTCTGCTTTTATCAAACGTAGTCATCTACCGCAAATATCCGCCAAATAAATTGGAATTAACTGTTGACTGAATCCCAGGCTTGTTAATCAATAGGACAAAGCTACAGAGAGAAGATAAATGAATATCAATACGCCAGGGATTAATTGGCGGATGAACATCTGGTTGCAACGCGGCCTTAAGTGCTGATAATACAGAGGTACTAATATAGTGTCTAGTCTGAAGGCGAGCGTTCGAAGCAAAGCACAATGGTGAGTTTTCGTATAGTTTCCTAGGAGGATTGCTGAATTTATTGTTGATGAAATGGCTCGTGACACCAAGATGTTTGAGCGTGTGTGCATGCGCGCGATTGTGTGTGTGTGTGTGTGTGTGTGTGTGTGTGTGTGATTGCCGCTTGCAAACGCGAAATTTCATAAACCTGCTAGTACGTGACAATGCATATACAGTATTTCCGCATTTGTATGTGGTACAACAAAGATACTGCGACTCGTCATGTTGTCATCATGTAGATAAAAGATTGGACTGACTGAACCTAACCTGATTGGGACATTTTTGGTTCAGTGCACAGTTTATCAAATTTTACAGCGCGCTAAGTGGATTCTGGGATGACTGTTTCAAATGCGACCCGTTAAGAGGTAAAGATAGATCTTCCACGTCACATTTAAATTAAAACCTGTGCACGTGTTACACTCGGTTGAAGCGCTTTCTTGGTTTTATGTCATTGTTAAGTACAATACTGGAGTTCAACAGAAGCAGTACGGAGGCTAGAGAATGGTTGATAAGGTTTTTTAATTAATGGTAATATTTGCATTAGCCCCATATGGGTATTTGCGGTTAAGACAAATTTGATATAATATATCGGGACGCAGTCACTCATTTCCCCGCTGAAACAGTTAATCGTCAGAAGAAACAGAAAAAAAGAACGCTATCGGCCAGCGAAGGGAATGAAACTATTTGTGGCAATTAGTTACAAAACCTTAACGGGGTGATCGCATTGTGTACATACAGTTAAATAATGGAAATGTATATATTATGATAACGGCATTTGATCAATTGAGAAAAATCGTTTACCATAGTGATTAGCGTTGTGCATATTGTAGGGCAAGCGGTCATAGAGAAATATGATACATAACCCGAATTAATAATTCAGCATTATAAAGGCAGTAATTACGAGAAAAGGACGCCGGATTAAAGGGGTGTATTCAGTGCGTAATTTCAAAATAGTCAATTTAGGTTACGGCATATAGGGGAACCACGAAACGCCATGGTGTGAGCACACCTGGTTTCACGTGTGATGTCACCTTTTGCAGGTCTAAAGGCTCCAGGTGCATTTTCATTTTATCACACCTTGCAAGCCGAGGCCATTTCCGCCCTTATCTTGTAATTTTTATTTCATCAAAGGAGTTGGAAGGGCTAAGTGTACAAATGGAGCCCTATATCCGACCGATAATGGTAAATCCATTCACACAGTGTATATCCATTATTGATCTATTAATTTATATCAATTTATTTATCCGATCGTCCATCCGTTCATCTACTAGAGCATGAACACATCCGTCTACCCACTACTCATTAATCCATTTATTTATCCGTTTCTTTATCCGTGTATCCATCTATCCAACTATATATCCACCCATCCAGACCAGCCGTATCCACCTGTTTGTCCCTCCATCCTGCCATCCGTTCGTTTATCCTTTCTTCCTCTTCATATATCCATGTATCCAACTATCTGTCCGCCCTCCCACCCATCTGCCCTTCCGAACACGGCGCCATTAGCTCATCTGTCAGTGGTGATTCAAGCTATCAAATACTTATTTTCGATGAAAAGAGGGGATTTTTGCCTACAATAGCTTTTTGACAGAGTTAATGCAACCAATGACAGGTTGAAAGCGCGAGAGTTTCATTATTCTTCTTTAATTTTTTCCTTGCTTTTCGAGTTGCAATATGTTATTACTTGTGGCGCAGTAGCCAACATTGTGAAAAACAGCCAATGATACGGTTGTACAGTGTATGATACGGGTAGTTGAATTGATGACTATTATATACCATGTATACAAACGGTTTATATCAATCCTATCTGTGTGCAGTAAGTAATTTATTCCTGGATCGGTTACAGGGATGCGGGAGATTGAATTTAGATGGAAAGTGTGAGGCAAACTAGTCATCTATCCAATCAGAAGATAGTAAATTAAATTAATTGAGGCCATTCTTCCGGTCCATACATCTATACATCCAACCATAACTCGTCCATTTCTCATTCTTCATTCGTCTGTCCACCTTCCATTCATCTATAAATATTACCATTCGTTCATTCTTTCTTTCATCCATCCCTAGCCTCTTCTCCCATCTACCTATCCGTGCGTGCGTTTCTTCCTTGCCAGCCAAGATGCTGCAGCCGCGCCACTGCGTCGTATCCGGCCGCTGATCGCTCGCACTGGCTGCCTGTAGCTGTCCCTGGTCGCTGACTTAAGGGGCCTAACGCGTTAAAAGCTTTTTATTGATCACCGCCGACTCAACTGTTGTATTTGTATCTATGCCGGTGATGCATTACAACATACAACTGAATGTGACACTTGCTATCTGGATATTATTGCATATTATGATTATGGTTTTTGGCTTCTTTTTATTTCAAGAACAAGGCATGCTTTAATTTGCAATTGGGTCGTCTATTTGAACGCCGTCGCAGGTACAATTAACCGACTTTGAAGAAACCTCATAACATGGAGAGGTAGAGGTGTAGTCAGTCTTATGTAGATTGCAAACGGCAGCGTGAAGTTACGGATTCTATCTGCACCACACTGGAGATCTCTCTCTCTCTCTCTCTCTTCTTCTTCTTCTTCTTCTTTTTTTATCTCTTTTCTTTTTCTCCTTCTTCTTCTTCTTTCATCTCTTCTTCCTTTTCTCTCTGTTTGTCTTTGTCTTCTTCTCCTCCTTCTTTTATCTCTCTTCTTCTTCTTTTTTCTTCTCTTCTTCCCCTTCTCTCTCCCTCTCTCTTTCATCATAGTCATCATCTTCTTCTTCTCTGCCTCCCTCACTTACTTATTCACGGCATGTAAATGGAATTAAATGCTGACCCACATGATGCTGTACACGCTGCATATCGATTGTCAAAACGCTCGAATTAAGTGCAATTATCTCATAACGGAGATATTTGCAGCTTTGAAACACATCTCACCCTATGTACTTGTCGTGTTGCAGCGCTTAATTGTTTGAGAAATTCAATATTAAACAAGAGAGGGAATAATACACGCGCCAGGGCACTTTGAGTAGAGTCTGTTTCTGAGGATGGTAAACAACCATGACGTCATCAAGGCACTTGGTTGAGACGCGCAGCAGCGTTTTATCTGTCACGGCTTCTGTATGATGTATTTTGTTTCGATAACAATGGATATTAGAAAATGTATTGATTTTTACCTGCTGTCAAAGCCTCGATTTGTATACGGCGTGTACGTTTAAAATGGGATAGGAAAGAAATAAAATTATTCGTCATCTGTTGCCGACATTGGCTTCCGTGTGTGGTTCCGCACGATAGATATATTCCCTTAGTCCTAGTTGTGTTAGTTATATAATGGATAGTTTATAAGTTGATAGAGTATTTATCAACACATAGATTGGTATATTTTGACTTTCGGACCTTCAAAGGAAATATTGTCACATTTATAGAACGTGCTCTATTTTGTCACAAATTATCAGGTTTTTTTTCTCAAAGAATGGCGTACTTGAGTCACATAATACAAGAAAAACTTATGAAATTACAATTGTGCTTTTTTTCAGACAGTTAGCTGTATTCACTTAAGTACTCACCAACGTCTTACGCAAGCCGTTGACCATGACTTTCACATTCTTAGTTTTTTTTATATTTTTATAATCTTATAATTTTTCTTATGTAGTTCAATTTGTCAGTCACCTAAAGGGTTGCGAGATATAGTTTTATTGTTGAATTTGTTTCTAAATAAACACCTTGGGCAGCAGGAAAAAGGGGGAAAGAAATGTCAAGTTGTAAAGAACTACATTAATCAAACGCATATACATATGTTGTGCTGTTTTATAGTTTTAAAGTTAATGGGCGATTGAGTAAATTTCTGGGAGAACATCTCCAGTATGTTTGCTGTCTAAGCATTTGTCATCTCGTAATAACGTTTAAAACCCCCAAGTCAAATAACTGTATGGCGACCATAAGGAAGGAAATTAGGCGTGTATTCTCTGTCCCTTGATCTGACAATGCAAACATTTGTTAGCACACTTAATTTGTTAGTGTGGTAGCTTTCTTATGTCTCTACTCCATTAGCCAGCCTGGAAGTGTTAAAGTCGGATTCGATAAAATGTTTAAAAGTCTGAAAATTCAATCGAAAGACATTACGGACCGCGACCTTAATTGTACCTTAGTCTAAAACTGACCACCAGCACTTGATGTCCAAAATACATATGACCACGTTAAAATCCCCACCTGTTCTAAACCATGACACCTGTAGAGATATTTAGATGCAAATCGGTGCTTTACAATCCAATTTGATTTCCCGACTAAGACCGAATACTGGTTTTGAAAAAAAAGGTCCGTATGCAAGTACCGGTATGACTAAGCGTCCGTTTGGCATTTAGAACGCTAATTGATTCACTGGCCAATCGATTATCTCATCCTGAAAGACACGCGTCTCTTTGATATCGGTCAGCTTATGGCAGGAGACGCTACTTAATGAATATTGCCTCTCTCGACCCCCTTTGTCATCAGGTATCCGACAGAGTTGAAAAGGAGATGCTAAAATCTGACAATTGGAATTGGAATTCCACCGTTAGATTTTTTTTTTGTTGTATGTTAAACAGAATGTTTGTTTGAACGAGGATGAAAGGGCTGATGATGGATATACGGTATTAGAGAGTTCGAATTCCAGCGTGTGAGAGATTTCAATTATTAGGATTAATTCTATTTCCTTTTGTGAAGGGTCGTTACGATTTGATTCGCCGCAGAGTCTTTAAGATGCCGAATATTAATAAACTACATTTTAAGGAAGCAAAACGTGGAAAATGTGCCGTCATTAAAAATTATTCATGGTGCACAAATGCTTTAAAACATTAAATGAAGTTCATCGAAACGTCACCGTACTTACCAATATAGTGAGCAAAGCACTGACTAGATTTGTTCCCTGTGGTGATATAATCGTATCAAATTTAGCCGTCCTATCCTGACTGGGAGCAAGACAAATATTGTAACTTGAGTGTATAATAAAACGCTAGACATTTCGATTAAAAAAAGATCCGGTGTGAACGCGGCGTAGCATATCGAGTAGAACTCCTTATCCGTTTGTATTTGACGGGCGCGTGACAGATGACGATTTAGTTCAGTAAGCGCGTAATTACTTCACTCGATATGTGCCGTATATACTAGTGGCAGAGGAAAAGTGTCAACTTCGGTCGTTTAGAGATTTTTTTATCCATTTTCTTTCTTACTTTCTTTCTTTCTTTTGTTTCAATTAATGATTTCAATAAACATGTTAAATAACGTGAACCCTATAACGTAACGAAGTTACTAAGAATTTCTTGGAACATCCTCGTGATGCCATATTAGCAGGATCATAATTCTGGTCTCACTGATACAGAGGCATTCTTCAAGACTTCTAGGAGTTTGCTCTTAAAGTCCAAGTAAGAGAATTAGGACCATGATCCTATTTGCACATAGCGATATGTTGTAGTTAGAATTTTTTGGAGTTTGGTCACGAAGTTCTATTAACAGAATAATGTGAAAGCTCGCAGGTACTGTTAATCATTCTAAAAAAACCCTTCTGCTTGCCCATAGATAAGTTTATTCATGATCACGTGTTGATTCTTATTTTATGCGGTCAAGTGTTTTTTACCAATTGGTTTACATAACTGGACATTGGCTCATTGCCACAAATGAGGTAAAACAAATATGCTCATACGTACGATTTCATCACTAGTTTTTCGTAAGTTTATTTATTTATTTATTTATTTATTTATTTATTTATTTATTTATTTATTACTTTACGCCAATAGCCACCTAGTTTCTTTGGTTCACTTAGATCTGATCACTTAGGGCGCATTCAGGACAAAGTTAATCCGAGAACTAACAGATCCTCGGATCAACCATGGCCGACCCACATGAAATCTTCCAGCGTAATCCCCAAATAGACACTGAATAGCTGGGGTTATGCGGGAAGCATTCAAGTGAGTCGGCCATATTTGATCAACGGGCCTGTTAGTTGGCGGATCAACTTTATTGTAAATGTGGTCTTGAAGAAACACTATCCATACAGGCATATTAATAGAATATTATTTTGTTTGTTTTCTTCCAATTACCCGCCCTCCCCGCCTCCCCGCCAGCGTCGACATATCCACACATGCATGATAACAAAGCTAACATTGGACTAGCTCCAAATACAATAATCGCATATACGTTTGAGACAAAATATTAATCTAATTAATGGTTTGGGTCTTGCGCTGTATATTTTCTTTGTGGTCTACACGCATAGGATGTTTTCTATTAATTATAATGGACGTGGAATACCTGTTTTTTCCCCTTGGAGAAATATATAAGTAGCATCCAAAGAATAAATGCAAGGAGAGCACGGAAGCAATCCGGTAGACGTAATATTTAATCAGACCCTGAAAACAAAAAATTTAATGCAAGTACCGGTTGTTTCATAATACCAAAATATGATGGTGGAATGTCATTATGTATAACCTATATATTATTTAATGAAAGCAATATACCGATGCAGTAGTTGGATAGAAGAGGGAAAAGCAATGAAAATCAGAATGTCCTCCTCACTGTCACATATGCCTTATGACGTACTCTCTACCAGCTGACGTGCTCTCTACCAGCTGACGTACTCTAGCTGTACCAGTCATGACGTTAGAAATTTTCGCTTGGCCTCTGTGGTGTATTACCAGATAAAACCAATTTTTCGCCTTTAAGGAAACTCTTTTGTCTCCGCCCACCAGCAGCTCCGTGTAGTGCCTAGGTGCCAAATTCTCATTATGTAATCTGTCTTCATTTTTCTGTCTGGCAAACGAGCCGTCTGGAGAGTTTCCTCATAACTGCACACAGTTAGAGCAAGCAATTATCTCACTTGGTTTCAGTCAGAGGGCCTTGGCAGGTCATTGTCTACTGAGTACTTATGTGACCCACCTTGAAACTGCCGCTTGGATCTCAGCACAGAGTCACAGGACAACAAAGTCCACATAGTTAGACACGTATCTATGAATGTCAGGTAAAAAAAAATCCAACCTTTTTCCCCTGGTAGAGGGCACTAATGACGTACAGTTGACAAAAAATTCTTTCCGGTCCCTTGTACCTCCCTGCAGTAGCCCAAACCCACAGACCAACATGGATCATTAACACAAAATAACTTTGACCCGAAAATTGGTCTATACTTTTAGACCAAAAGTGAGGCCTAATTGCGTTCCAGATAAATCCAATGTATTATATATAAAATCATTGGTCTCAAATATAAGTTATGCCTCGTTAGTTAAAAAAACCAAGACCAAGTATTTAATTTTAATTGGACCATTATGGGTTTATCTTACGCAAAAATAGGTTAAAAATTCTGTGTATACGTATAGTCCCATAGGCATAGATATTTGCCTAGCAGTTAGTGACCAACCTCTTCATAACCAACCAGGCCGTGACCAACCTTTTCATCACCAAACTCTTCATCACCAACCAGGCCGTGACCAACCTTTTCATCACCAACCTCTTCATCACCAACCAGGCCGTGACCAACCTTTTCATCACCAACCTCTTCATTACCAACCAGGTCACGACCAACCTCTTCATCACCAATCAGGCCATGACAAACCTCCTCCCATTAGAAAAGTCTATTTTGCGGACACAGTCAACTAAGCAGAGCAACTCTAGTTCATAATTCATATGTGTACGTGATGTTTCACAGGCAAAAAATTTCCCAAGGGACTTTTGTTGAAGAACCAAGCGTGGTGTGGCATTACTTTGTCAATTATTCTACTAAATGTAATCCATTATGAACTCATGCTGTGTATAGATTTTCAGGGCAATTACGTTTTAGAAAAAATATATTGTATTTCAAATGCTGGCTGGTCTAGATAGACCGTTAGAGGAACGTTGTCGGCAGCAGTTAATTATTATTATTATTATTATTATTATTATTATTATTTATATGATAACAAATAATATTACGTTTAATTCAGGCTAAAGGGTTGTATTAACGTTAGTCGTATCACTGAATTCAGGCAAATTATCGTCTTTTTTCATGGAGTCATATTGCTTAATTGAGGAAAGGATCTTTCTTCCGTCTTCACCCTCATCTTCCTCGTTTCCCCTACTACCTTTGTGATCCTACACGTGCTACTTATTATATAGATTTGTAATTGTATGACCAAATACCCCGAGACTGTTGTTCTTTCTGTACACCGTATACGATTTGCTTTTAGTCCGCATTTTATGTCTCTCAATGATTGACTTATTCCATATGCCATTATCGTAATTGTATCTAAATGTCTCTTTCCCATACGGAAGTATAAACTAGGAGCTGATGTCTCACTTGCATTAAGAGCAAATGTTCATCAAGAGGGCAAACGTCACTTGGTTATGTTCTGTGTATGGAGTGGATATGGAATGTTGATACCATTGAAGCATTGCATAGAATTCCGCAATAAACATTTAGATGTAATCACTGTACTTTATAGGAAAGGTTGGATGCACTTTATTGGCATTAAATACAATATTTTGACTTAAAAGATTAAAAAGATAAAAATAAAATACGTTAGAAACGTATACAACGACGAGTATCGCCGGCAATTATACTTAGACTTTGTATTTCGTTTTAAATTTGTGAACATTTATCAATCAGGAACAAAAATAAAAGAAAGTAGTATGACGATGGAAACATGAACAAAAAAAGAGAGAATAACCGTACATTATATGTATTACTTTTAGTAATACGTTCTATTGTCTTTGTAAATGTTAGGAGTATTAGAGAAATTCTAAAGAACGAGGTGCATTTTCGTAAGCTTAAATTGTTATTTTAAAAACAGATGCGTTTATTCATATAGGCCTACACATGTAATCTTTTTTAAAATTGCCTTTTACAATTTCAGAATTTGCTATTTGATTCATTTTCTAATGTTAAGTTGCAATTATGTAATAATAATAATAATAGATATAATAAATATAATAATAATAATAAATATAATAATAATAATAATGTATGAAACATATACAATATAACAAAGGACAATCAATGCCAAGTGATATGTACTAGATAAAACGTCCCTGAGAACAGAACAACTGAAGAGACTAATAGGTGCTCTGAGGTCTCTTGCCATGGGAGAAAGGACATTGCATTAATTATGCAGTCTTTAAATATTGATGCCTATCATAGTTTGGATATATTGACATAATGTACACTATCTTAATGAATTATTGAGTAATTTTCTAGTCAATATTTGAAGAGAGACGTGCACCTCACTCACTGTTGCCTTGTTATATGCAGTGTATTTGAACGTTTGATTGTTTTGTGTTAATCCGTCCGGGCAGGACGAAACTAACTTTCAACTGATTCATCAAACGAAATAACTGTGTATTATTCCAGTTAATGTCCCTTTTTGTGTGTGACTGAGTTAACGCCAAAATACATCAGCTTTAATAGTGTAAAATTTGCATGTGATGTTTTGTTGCAACATATCTTCACTTAATACTGCAAACGTTTTATCTTTTGTCTTTGTTTCTTCCAGTGTCACGAAATAAGAGAAGAAGAGTTAGCTGGTAAGTGAACCATTAAAACCTTCTAGATTATCAATCCAGATAATCATTTTCTTTTCATGAATTTTTTTTTATTATCACTTTTAACTACGACCCCATTAGTCCAGTCAACGAACGAAATATCCGCACTAAAGCTGGAAAAATGTTAATAAAGGTATCTCAAGTGAATCTAGTCCACAAATGGGCCAATATACCCCAGATAATTTCCCACCAGAATCCAACCATGACCAAGTGCTAAAATCAAAAATGGCCGTCAATGCATAGGGGAGGTAAACTTACAACTGGAAGGGACATATTTGGTCCTCAGATCTGTTAGTCCGCGGATCAATTTGTTCTGAATGTGCCCTAAGTTCATAGAATGATAAGATTAGGACATGGAGAAAGAAAGCACGCAGAAACAGCCCCAATATCTCATGGGAGTGTGTCGAATCAATTGAGAGAGCTTTCAAAATTATTAACGGCTGACGCTTAGAGTCCTCAGTGTCTGGTCGATAGAATGAGAGCGTGTTACGAATGGGCTTTACACACTGAGCTCCAGAGAGAGAAAAAGAGAGAGAGGGGGGGAAGTAGAAAGAGAGTGATAGAGAGCAACGAAGGGTGAGAGAGAGGGAGAAAGGGAGACAGAGAACAAATAAATAAATAAAGGAAGAAAAGGAGAAAGAAAGAAAGAGTGAGGGAGAAATGTAATGGATTTCGACTGTTTTTTACTTATTAATATATATTTGCATGTAATCATTATAAGATGCAAAATTCAATGACAACATTTCGCTTTACTTTTTCTTCAAAAGTCGACGTCAAAACCTATTTAAACAGGTAAAATAAAGGCCTACTAGTAGCTACTTAAGAAGGGGAATTGCTTTTTTACTGAGACAGTCTCCAAATGGTATGGGCTATCTGAGCCGTTAAGTGAGTCATCAAGAGTTGAATTCTGTTCCACTTAATGAAGAAAAACTGACGCGATTATGGGATTATTTGCGTGCACTTTGAGAAGATGGCATCACAGGGGAATTGGATGCTCTCCTGCACTTCTACATGTGTAGTTAAAATGGCGACAAGTTTCTTTTTTCTTTCTCCTAATGTTAGGCAGAAACAAAATTGCAAATATGGAACTTTCACCGTGGAGATTTTTTAAATCAAACATGAGAATAATTGAGGCTTAAATGTTGACATATTGGGTTGAAAGTACGGGATGAACAAGTACAATAGGAATTTTTAAGACAACAACGTAAAAAATTCATTTAATAATCCTTTACCAAACACTGACGGATAGGCACTATTTCTTTGAATGTCTCTTATTCCTAAGATGTGGAATCGTTAAGGAGGCCATGCGTTTCAATTTTGACATCCACTTTAGCCTTCGTTTGGCAACATTGAAACATATCAGTCTTGATTATGATCACTGATACTGTCCGACGGACCATAGATCTCTCACTTTTTCCTTTCTCCTTTTTTCTGTCTGTTTTTCTGATTATCTTTTTATTTAAATTTCTCTCGCCCTTCTACCGTGCTTCTCATGTCTCCATGTGGAGTGTGAAGGTGTGAGGGAGGTGGAAAAGAGAGGGGTGAAAGATTGAAAAAGAAAGACTGAGTCAGAAACATAGAAAGGAATGACGGTCTCCGTATCCCACATCCCTTTGTCTTTTTTTAAACTGTTTTTAATCTTTCCCCGTCTTGTCCCCTCCTCCCTTTCCTCAGATGGTTTCAACTTCATTAAAGCACGCAATCTCCTCGCCAATAAATAAACTCTTTATTGTAATACAATATCACTTTGTGGATGAATATATCATACTTATCCCCACATAGAGAAGGCAGACTGCACCTGACGAATGTCAATATTAGAATGAGGGAAAAAGCAAAATCAACAGTGGATATGGACTACGTTTGCAATACATTAGTACAACCGTCTCATTCTTTTAAGAATTAAAATTGCACATTATGAGAAATGTCAGTGCAGCTACGGGATTTGAATTATTTAGGGCTCTGTTTTATACACGGGTGGTCCTGTTCCAGTTAAAAACATAGCTTGTTGCCAAGACTTCACCAAGACACCCTCCGACTCATCAGTAAGTATAAAGCCACGTTTCAACTCAATTTGGGTCGACCTAACTTGTTACGACCCGCCCCAGCATGCCGTGTGATTAGGATTTCCTTACCGCAGGGATCGCATTCAATCATTCTCATAGACCGCCCAACGCCTTGATAACTAAGCGGCTTTGAACTTATCATAGTAATGTTACTTGTGCCGACTGTAGAAGGACAAACAAAAGAAAACTAAGTTTATGTAACTAAATTGCTGTATTGTCAATATATATCGTATAGTTTACATTGTACATATTTATATGCAGGTACCTGTTAGGCTGTACGAAAAAACTCGTAAAAAGCACTTGAACCAATAAATAAATAAATAAATACCATTTAAATATTAAATGTTTCAGCCAGTTGGCCTGGTGTGGACGAACGCTCAGGAGGTCGATCCCAAATTTACAGTAAACACGCCTTAAAATACCAGGGAATGTTCCCCATGTAGACCTGACTTCATATCATTCTGCCCATCAACTGCACGGGGCGTCAATCAATTGTCGTAAGCAAATGGTTTTTTAGCTCTATACTCCATCGCCAAGTGATGGGAATGTAACGATCGCATGGAGCTAAAAGCTTCGAGGAGCTTATATCAATGACAGCGGCAAAATATATCTCTCGATAAAATTCAGTTAATACTGTAGCTGAACCAACGACTAGACGAACATTTTTTTTCTTTTTTCCCCTTTTTGCCCTAGTTTGAGGTCTTACATGCCAGACACTTTCCGCTGGTAAGGCCTCATTCTACCCTGGGTTACAAACATTTGGTCGGGTTTAGCCGCAATGATTTGACACAAGTACTCACTTAATATGCTTCTTTGATGGTACAACAAGATAGATATCACTTAATGTGCATCTTTGAGGCTACAACGACGTTAAATTGACCATCGTCTTAAAGTGCAAACATGCAAATATATCGATAGAAACCTTCCTAATTGTGTCGTGTTCAGTAAGTGGCTGATATCAAGTGATGACCGAAATGATAAATACCAGTCCACTCAGCTTAATTGGTCGAATATGATGGGAAATTGCCTCTGTAATTATGTCACCAAATATTGATCCAGCACTTCCAGTCACTGTGAGGAATACTCCGTATTGCCAACACAACACTAGCAATTCTATAAAAAAAAAAAGAAAAAAACTAGCAACAAACTATCAATAGCGCATTTCACCATTTAAACATGACGCAGAACCACAATAACACTTTACAACGTTTGCCATAGAGGTCTTCACTTTAAAAGCAAACGTTGCTTTTGTCATCTTTGACAAGGGATACATTCGTTATGGTCAACTTCAAAAGAGATACACGGCTATTGTATTTGTACAATTATTCCTTCATTTTAGGGAACTTATACGTGTTTGTCCAGAAATGAAGTACAAAAAAAACACAATCCATCTTTAATGTTTAAACCAAATTAGGCTATGTGTTGTTTTGTGATACGAGTTTTAGCTTGATCTGGTTAACATGACATAATAAAACACTTTCAAACCCACTTGCCGAAATATAGTCACGGTGTCGCAAAAAAAAAAAAAAAAAAAAAAAAAACTATGAAGACTTCTGGGTGATGCAAATTTATTGTTGAACTCTTTGACCATTCAAATAGATTCTAAAGGCTACTTTAACAGCATGCCACCAAAATTTTTGTGTGACCAAACAAAACAGTTGTCAAATATTCATTAAAAGGGGCACTTTTGAGATGACAAAACGTACGTTAAGGGCTTTTAATGCCGCTTCATGGGGTCGATACGCCGATGATAGGCTTACATGGAAACACAATTCTTTCGAGTGGAGAGGAGCAAGGGGGTGCCTTTTGTTTTATGGTGCTTAGTGTACTTTATATTGGTAGCTTTAATTGTCTCTCGGGATCCCAGCGTGTGCAACGAAGGATCTCTCTTCTTTCCTTAACAGGCAACATGATTAATTCATCATTTTGCTAAGGAAGAATCTAAATGTGTTAAAAACGGAAAAAAGCCAATTGCGGGAAAAGTGGCAACGAGATCCATTGTTGCGGGCATTTCCCCTGGGGGGTTCTTTGATTCCGCTACCGTGAGCAATGTACGGGATAGACCAAATAAGAAGCAAGAAGAGCACATTTGAACACTAATCCCAGGGGGTAGATATTTGCTATATAGCAGGTGTGGGTAAAGGCCAATTAGCCACCACCCTCACTCATCTGCTACAGTAATGTTACAGCTGCTCAGCACTGGCTGGCTGTAGTATGAGTTCCCCAAGGACGCAGAAACTCCATTAAGGTCTGCCGGGAAATGCGGTGAAGTTTGCGGATAGATTGGGGCTCGATAAAGTGTTATCTTTAGTTGCCATGTTTTAGCCTTTGTATCTGGTTTTATTGAACCGTGTGGATTTCCCCTGTGGGGCGTGCCTCTCTCAGGTCTCGTGTGGAGAGAGAGAGAGAGAGAGAGAGAGAGAGAGAGAGAGAGAGACCAAACCCATTAATTTAAACACAAGTGTTAGTGAAAGTACATGTACTATTTTATGGGCTTGGTATAAGGCCCTATTCAGAATAGGGGACTAACTAGTCTGAGGTTCAAATATGGTGACCCACTACAAAGCTTGCCATCTAATCCGCTGGTAGACACTGAATAGCTATCCCGTGGGGAAGTATTCAAGTGGGTCGGCTATATTTGACCCTCGGATTAGTTAGTCCCCTATTCTGAATGGGGTGTAATATATTCCTCATTCAAGGAGTAGAGTGCCTTACGCGAAGGTTCTTACTAAGTTGTCCATATCTTTAGCTTGCATGTGTTCCATCTCTTTCATCAATCCCGCTACATAATTTTAATAAAAATGGCAATGGTCTGATTACGTCACCGGGACTGGAACCAGTCTTGCACATAATACTGCTTTGTAACCAGATTATGATTACCTTGCTTTAATTCTAAGTCTGACCTTACTACCTTGTATCTTGTTTTTTAATTCAGAGTTCAAGGAAGCGTTTGGACTCTTTGACAAAGATGGCGACGGTCGGATTACGTCAGCGGAACTGGGGACGGTCATGCGCAGTCTTGGTCAGAACCCCACTGATGACGACCTCAGAGACATGGTCAACGAAGTGGATGCTGATGGTATGTGAAAAGACCAATGAACTATATTACCACTTTTTTTGATAATTTCAGAATTCTTTCTCAAAATCCTATGAATGGGCCATCCGGACTTCTTAAAACTTTTTAAATGATTAAAATAAGATTTAAAAACGTATTTTTTTTTAAATAAGGGCTATCTTTATTTGCCCTAGCTGTTACAACTACGTATAAAAATAGTTAAACACGGTATGTATGCGTTGATGCGTGTACATGTCATTCAGAATACAGTATAGTATTCGTAATAGTACATAATGCAATAAATGCATAATTCATCAGATTCCGTTACATTTCGCAACACGGTATTCTCAGTATTAGATCATATTGTAAGCATACAACAGAAAAGTCGTTTTCTAACATCCCCGGAGGGAGTGGGGGTATTTACACACCCTCCCTGACCCTAGTCCTATCAATGGCAATGTTATCATTCCGTATTTGTTCCCTACTCCCACTGTCAGTACAGACTACAAGGTATGACATATTAAGACTTACAGGTGGAGGAAACAGTGTTCTTCTTTAGCATTGACCGGCGTGTGATGGTATTTAATTTCAGTGAGTCGAGTATAAAAATGCTGACTGACACGCGGATACAAGGGGAAGACGGTGTCTGTGTGCGTGTGTGTGTGTGTGTGTGTGTGTGAAGGGGGGCTCCTGTAGGCAAGTTGTGGATAGGGGACGCCCCTCACTCAAAAACTGCTTGCTGCCCCCCCTGTTACAATACATACATACATACACACACACACACACACACACACACACAGAGAGAGAGAGAGAGAGAGAGAGAGAGAGAGAGAGAGAGAGAATTAATAGGATTCATAATTTAAAGCAGGGTTACACCCATCTCACTTAGACTGGGTTCCCATACACAGATCGATCCATCGGGATCGATCTAACTCCCTGGGAAGTCTCACTAATTGTTATCAACTAACCGGCTTAAATGTCTGTCACGCCTATCAAATCAACTAAGGGGTAAAGATAATTACCCCCTGGCAGCTTTACTAGGCGTGACAGACATTTAAGCCGGCCAAGTTGACAGCAATTTTGTGAGACTCCCCAGGGAGATAGATCTATCCAAATATCTGTGGGAATAGCCCCTTATATTCTGAACCCTGACTAGAAATGTATTTTAGAGTATGGAAACTGGTACCTAAGTCTGAAATTGGTGACACCTTATTTTAACAAGAGATTTCGACCGTTGCCCATGGCCTATTGATGTCGGAAGATATCTTGTCAGTACGCTGCAGTGCAAATTCAACATGCGACTAAAACATTCAATAGACGCATTTGTCTTAATCTTTAATTATTTGCATATTCCTATCCAGCTGCGTGCTATCTTATTGTCTGTCTTCTCGTAATTTAGTTGGGCGCACGTACATGAAAGCAAAAACTAAATTGCTTTGGAAGCTTATTTGACTATTCCCTGTTGTGTTGCAAGGGAAATGCGTTTTACGTTTGAAACAAGCGACTCAGGACATTTGCTTAACTAAAAGGATGATTTGGCTTTTCGCTGGAACTGTTTTTAAAAGTTTTTCGACAACCTGTTTAAAATTTGTTAACATTGTGCAAGACAAAGATAGTAGTCTACCGGAACTAAAATCAAACAGATTCAAATAAACACGAGAAGGGTAACATTATATTGATCTGTATCTGCCAACGAATGATTTAAATCATTTAAATATTGCAGGAAACGGTACAATTGACTTCGATGAATTCATCAAGATGATGAGTAAATCGAAACAGTCTAGCAAGGAGGAATTGTTGCAAGCTTTCCGGCTGTTTGACAAGGACGGGAACGGCTTCATTAGCGCTGAGGAGCTCCGGAACGTGATGGCCAGCCTGGGGGAAAAGTTAACAGACGAAGAGATCAAACAGATGATCCAGGAGGCCGACGTGGACGGTGACGGGCAGGTGAATTATGAAGGTAAGCGTGTCTTGGGTAAAATGCCATCTATCGCAGGCATGTAGGAGGTGTGTAGGCGGGGGGTTTCAGGGGGTTCGAATGCATCACCTTGCAGTCTGATAAGGGCACATGAAGGTTTCATGGTAAAAGGCCCATTTCTTCAGAAAAAAGAACCACTTTCCCTTTGAAAATGTTGGCTACGGTGGGGGCGTCTCGATAGTCCGAAGGTTCATTGGTCCGAAAAATGGTGACATTTTCATCAGTTTTTTTAATCAAGGGTTCATTGGTCCGAAACCTTCGGACTGTTGAAAGGTCCTGTATGGAAGGTGTAACACTGTAGGTGGCAGAGGTGTGTGTGGGTTTTGGGTAAAACTCCTCTCCTCTCAGTGGATGGGATGGCAGTGTGCAAAATTAACACGGCAATATTATAAAAATGATAGGCCAAGTTAAAGGATGAGCCTAATATCCAGGTAAATCTACAGGTGAGAATACATGTTATTTAGTATTCAGTCCTGTTAAGGAGGACGGGTCGCTGGCCGTCCCTGCTACCTGCTTGAAAATGTAGCCATACGAGTGTTAGGAGTGATTTTATATTGATGTTTAATAAACGCCATGCACTAGGGAAAAATATATATAATTAACAATATATATTTAAATAAAGTTAGGTAGATTCTGAAGTCGAAATATTGGCTGGCCATACATATTTCATTTAAGTAAAGGGCCTAAACGTAAAGATAATCTCTGTCTCTGCCGCAAAATAAATGGAATCAATGGCAAAATACGTTTTATTATAAAAGAAAACCATCAACGCCAATGTGCGTCTGGACGACAATCGAAACGCTGTAAATTCAGTCAGTCAGAAAATATGAATAGCATTAATCCACAAATGAAAGGTTCATGATGAATAATGCACAGTTTCAGAGAGAAATTTGCAATTGATGAGAGCGGACTTTAACTGTGATGCACTGTGTTACTGTTAAATGTATCATGCTGAAGCGATCGATAAAACACACACACAGCAGGTCTCTGTTACTCGTGTTTTAAAATCCTGGTTTCGCAGAAGAATTTTAGACTGCAACTAGGTGTTAACTTTAAAGGTAAAATTCTTCTACTCTCACCTTAAATAAACCAGCTGTAGTCAAATCAAACGGAGAATTGCACTTTAATCTGATTTTTAAGGAGAAAGCCATTGCTTATATTTGAGAACAATACTTACTATACACTTGAAGACTACCACGGTTTTATTTTTGGTAAAAATTGAAACAAAGCGAATATTTTTGTATCTTTAAAGTAAGGTAAAGTAAGATCTGTTTGCAGTCGAATTGTCCTTTGTAAAAACGTTTGAGGGCTACTGAAGAATCGCTCAATATGTCAGAAATGACCTTTACACAGTGAGACCAGTCAAAAGTGAAAAGTACGTTGTCGACTGCGACCGATCCAGAATACGTGGTTATCACATTTTAGCCCTTTTTTTACTAAAAAAAAAAGTCCTTACATTTAGTTGCAATGCATATTAAACACCGTTTGTTTAAAAAACATGAAGAGAAATACATTTCGTCTACCGACCGTGTTTAGAGCGAGTCGCCATTCGTTAGACAACTCCCCAATTTTTTTCGGGCCTTGGGTGATCTGTTTCGATTACATGCTAGTTCAGGCTTTATTATTTGCCTTGTGGCTTGATGTACAACATGTAGTGCTACTACTAAGCCTACATGTATGATTAATTTTGTATGGGCCCCTATATTAATTACCACACATTCATTAACGTAGAGGGACCGACGACTTCATGAAATTGATTCGTGATCACCATACCGGTGTAACGTGACAGAGTCCCCCATAACAGAGTCCGCTTCCCATTCATTTGTTCAGGATTTTGACCTGCTTAGGTCAGACTAACCCTAACCATTATAACTATATGGAGGGCGGACTTTCTGTTACACGGACCCTCACTTTCGTTACACCGGTTCTACATGTGTCAATGAAAACAATCCGTTTCTTTTTCAGAATTCGTCCGGATGATGGACAATCCAGGCCATAAGTGATTCCGGCAAAGAAAGTCTCGCGCGAACAGAAACTCTCGCACGGGCATATCACTGTTCTATGCATGACGTTATGATTGATTAGCACCTTGAGGAAGGAGATCTCGCTCGAACGAGATCATAAGCTTGGGCCTTACTTTACTCAGTGAAGTACTGCATCTCGTTCGAACGAGAACAGGAGGTTGTGTCTATGGCAACCAGTGGTAATCATTGCTGTCCACATTTTTCAATTTGAGGAGATTATAGCATCTGCGTGTTTGATATAATAAAAATGCTAAATCGCCATCTTGCCTTTGTACTGCGTTTGGTGGCTTTCCGACTTTTTTGGAAGGTGGAATCCAAAAACCTTAAAATAACACACACATTTCCTTTCCTCAGTGCTCTTTTCAGCATCCTGATAACGAACTCAATCGTAGAATGGCTTAAGACTTATCTCATAAATTATTCAAAAGGAAGCCGGAAATAACAATAGCACGGTATTCTGGGAGATTATTTAAAGCTGCTGCTTTCATATACATTTATGATACGTATATAAATGTTATTAAAATGTACACTCCAGGGGTTTGAAAATCCCTAAAATGCTTATTTTTGCCACCCACAGCTTCTTATAAAATCTCACATACACATTAGAAATTAATTATCCCCTTTAATGTGTTTTATTCTGGAGCGTACCTGATATTTCTATTGGAACTTGAAAATTTCTATAGGAAATTGTCGCTGTTATAATCACTGGTCAGTCATTTTAAACTAAAATCAACCTTTATAAATTGTATCAAAGGTCGAATCTAAGTGCAGAGAGGGATAGATTTTTGGTTCTTGAGTACGAAGAAATTGCTTATTTTTCCGGGAAAAACATTTTGGCGGGCAGATCGCATGGAGTGTACATTTAAAGTAGATGTAAACTTCTCTCTGATACCAATGTACTTTTGATTAATTTATTCTGGCACAATGTATATTTTAAACGCAGATAAGTTTGTTTACCATTCCCTATGGTAACCTCAAGTGGGGTTGTTATACATGTATGATGATGGTGTACCGTTATCTCTTTTTCCAATTTTCCAACTGTTTTTCTCATGAAGTAGTAATCAGTCTGTAAATTCATTTTTTGTTATTTTGAAAAAAAAAGCACAAATAAGCTGAAACCAGGGATATAAGTTTTGTTTGCATCTGTCAACCCAGTAGCCGCATGCACTGTTTTGGGCCGGTTTCCTTTAGAGCGTCCTTTAGAGCGTCCTGTAAGACCCAATAGAAAATTTCCGAAAGGGACGCACTGTTTAAGCGCTTGATAATTCACTGCAATGTGTGTATTTCTTGCTATCCGAATGCCTGCATCTAACATTGTTGTGCTTTTTTTCTATTATCTGTGTATTTGCCAGCTTGCTGTTTTTTAACCCTGCTAGTACGCCTGTTCGGGGTCCTCACGCAGTCAATATGGGTTACTGACTGGGTCCCAGTGTGGCTCAGCTACGGAGACCAGGTGGTTCCTTAGTGAATTGGCCAACCAGGACTAGTACATGGGTAGTGCCTGGATCCTAATTGTATACGTAACCCAAGAGAACAAAATCAATCCTCGGAAGCCTAGTCGGGTTAGCCTTAACTCCTCTGGGTCCGGTTGGGTATGCTGGATGTTCACATGGTGATTTTTTTTTTTAATTTTATAATTAACAGGCAATTTGGCCTGGTTTAGTGCGCATGCTCGTCATATATGTGATGAATAGAATAAAGTCGGGTAAAACCGCTTTCTTTACTGATTTTATTGAATTTTACTACTGCTGGATGCCCAAGTGGTCTTTAAAATGCTGACTAGTGAAAACAGTGTTTTAATTAAAACATGCTTCGCCTTTTTATTAATGATTCACGGTCCTCAAGATCTCTTCCTCGTGTAACTGTATTAAATTGTTAATTAATTCATTTTACATTCCGTGTGTTAAATTTGATTGATGTTACTTTAATTGATGTTTTAATAACGGGTACATGTTATTTATCAAATAAATATTGTATTGATTTATTGATTGATTCAGATTTATATTAACGTTTAATGTTACTGCGCGTATTGTCCTTGTATTTCGTGTACACCTATGGCATGAATAACAAAATCAGGATAAGGTATCTGATGACGTCATAAGCGATGGTGACCTTCACCTTTAACCTCACGTTAATTTTAAATTGCAAAAAATATGTTTTATTTTCTGATTTTGGCATTTAAATCATTTACGATACAGAAATTATTTCATTGTAAACCAAAATTCGTTGTCACAGTGCATGGCTTGGTCATAAGTAGGGCCATCTCCTTAAAAGCTTGTGTAATATCATCGGGGCATTATAATTTTTTCCGTGTTTATTGATTGTAGTAAATAGTTCCATATTCTTAATGTAAGTGTGTATTCTACTCAATACTTGTAATACGTGGATTTGCCTATAGTTATATTCTTATAGCTTATGTGACTTCTGCCATTAGCTTAAGGTTGTGAAGGTGTTTCCATTACGTTGTGTGTGCTTATCATAAATGTTATATTATGCAATTGTACTTTTTATTGAATGACGAATTAATAAACGTGGGATTACATGTAAAACGTGTTTGTCATGCTCAATTTGCTAGCATCTGCTGTATTTCTGGAAAGATAAATGAATAAACATGGCATGAAACTAGGGCACTCATGAAATCTTTGGGAATTATTATGTTTGATAACTTGATCACGCTTTCTTCACTGAACCCTTATATTTAGTGGCATACCACGAGTTTTACGGGCCCAGTGTAGCATTTTCTGTGTCGTACATCAAACTCTTACATTACTTGGTAGAGCACAGAAACTTTGTTCAATCCCGGGTTGATATATGCAGCTAGGGTTCAGCTAAGAGCGCACGGTGAAAGACGCATTTGGTTCCCTGGAAAACGCAAAAAGGATGGCCGAAATTATTAAGGAAAACATAAACGAAAACATGTTTATCGTTCTGCTATTAGAGCAGCCACGCTGTACCTAGATTGATTGATTAATTGATTGATTGATTGATCAATGTGGATATGTGTTCACAATTTGATTGATATTGTTCCACATCCGACTCACATTTTGAATTTTCCCTGCGTTAACCAGCATAGGGCAGAAAGGCTCGAGGCCCGTGTCTGGTCTGTATCATTGGGTGGGATATATGTTTAAGGACTAAAGACACAAAATGAGCGTTATATAGGCCTTTCTACAGCGATTTAATGGATTTTTCTTTGATATCCAGAACTTTCACTTTATTTAACAAGCTATGTCATAACCCAAACAATATACAAATACATTAACCCGTTGTTAAGTTTCAAATTCTGAATTATTTCAAATAAAAAGTATTTCAATAAGCATTTGAAAGCTATAATACACAAGCACAACCGAATAAGGGAGAAAGATAACGAGTGTGGTAGAGAAGCCTTGGTGTTGTCACACCTAACACAATGACATAAACGGGCGACAAGTTGATGCCATGACAATTCTTCACAAAATATATGAACTCCGGACATTTCACTGTTCTGTAGTCACTTTAAGAGATGGCGCTTGACTTTTACATGTTAGCTTTACATTCGTAGGAAATTCTAATTTATTTTTGTAATGTAAGACATAGAAAAGATGCATTTAGGCGTAAATAACTGTAATACAAAGTCTGGTTGGAATAAGGGCCCCACATGCAACCCGATGACAAAAGGAATTTATATTTTCTTAATCCTTGTTGTATATTATTTAAAAGTCAAATACTTATTCTAAAATGAAAACCAGAAAAGAAAAAAAACATATTCTTTAAACCTACAGAACTACCCCCTTATTCCAAACATTAATCAACTCTCTGTAAATCAAATTCCCAGTTTACAGTACACGTAATTAACAGATTTTATTGTTGTTTACTAGACCTCGTAGCATGTGACAGCGCTACAACAACAAAGACTGAACTCATACATGTAGATCCACCAAAACCAACTTTTCTTTTGTAGGACTTAATATTACACAGTGAGTTTGTCATCAACGATCAACGACCCAAAATATGTCAAAAATCCGGTTATAAATACCATCAAACAAAGGGGATACCCCTAAATGTCTTCCGGAACCATGATATATTTATGACATGATTAAACGGAACATGTCTTCAGTTGACTAATGTACTATTTTTATATATTTAAAATATGCTTACTTGCTTATGCTTTTTGTCAGTAAATAACGCCACAAAAAGTATTTACTGAATGAAATCGCATTTTGAGTATACTATTATCCCGATCTCAATCAAAAGAATGTCTAAGCGAATGTCATTTCCTATAAATGATTCCTATTTCAAAGACGAAATCGCCTCATTTTTATTCTATGTGTATTTAACTATCAGTACCTATTCTGAAGCTGGAAGTGACGTCACCATAAGCCACACCTCCTTGTCCATATAAGGCATATTCGTCGAGAGCCACTCCCTGTCACAAGATTATTTGCATATCAACATGGCCTCCAGGTCGATTACAGGGGTAGTAAGAAGTATGACAATAACGAAGTTAACCTCGCCCATAAAAAATGCACGAAGATTTCTTACTGATTGGTAAATACTTAACCTTGAGTGATTTGTACCATACACCAATTTACCCCGATCAATTTGTCTCAAATGAAACACAAATAGACTACTAAAGAAAACTGAAGAACATAAACAGGCGTCATGTCCAGCGCAGTACAAATTCAATACACGAGCAAACCTGTTACTACTTTGATAAAATTTCCCTGTGAAAGAAATATTAGAATATTTTTCACCCGCAGTACATCATCTTCCTTTGAATAGACCTGATGAAGTAGACTTGCTCTAGGCATTCAACGCGCTTAAATCAAACTATCCAGGTGAAAATGTACAGGTACCCATCTTTAATCTTATCCGCAGATTTTTGACACGCTCTGTGAGGGCGGTCACCTGTTCCCCGTGACGTAGTCGTTTTCACCTGTCCTAACAAAGCTGTGTTTATTCATCGACGCTTTGTTGACCCTTGAGCTGTCATTCACGGCCCAACACACAGGTATGTCTCAGTGAACGCTGACCTAGATTTAATACCTGACTCACTTAATCGGAGAACATTCAACCTCAGCACACCTGTGGAGAGAGATAGAGAGACACCTGAGTGGAGACAAGTTTAAAGAGAGACTGTTTTTAAAGGAAGAATATACAGAGGCAGATTTGCCATACAGCATGCCATGTCGCGAAAGCATGACAACACTCAGGTGAGTGATAACCATCTGAAGTTACCTTTAATTAACTGCTGAGATGGGCCACAGATTGGGCGGGTCGGATTGATAGGGCAACGTGATATTGGTGTATGTCCCTCTGTTGGTCGTCTTGATGTGGTGACTTGGTTAATTTACTCATTAGTGTCTTGATTAGATTAGATTAACACCGGATAACCTCCGGTAGGATACAATGTAAGCTTATTAAGCCCTCTATCTAACGATGAGTCTTATTTACTCATTTATCAATCTACACACCCTGAAGTTCTTGACACACTTATGGCCCGGCTTTCTGTTAATGGTACAGAGATCTTCACTTCATTGGAAATTTATGATATTATGTCTTAGTCTTGAAAGGGAATTATACCCACATTAGGCCTACGGTATTAATAAGATTTACAGTCTATTGATATACATATTTGACAGATTCCCATTTTGTAGTATCCAAGGCACTGTTACATATATCTCTATCATAACAAGGTCAATAGCACCGGTGCTTAAGGTATGTCAATTGAGCTGGTCAATATAAGAGACGCCGTGCTGTGTTGTTTTTATACAGGGTAAGGTGTAGGGCGAGTTGATACAGTAGTGACCGATAAGAACAATGAGCAAGAATAACAGTCTATTTAACAGGCTGGGATAAGTGCAAAATGTCTTAAATGGGGACCCTACTGACTTGTAATAGTTAACCAAATAATAATTCAATTATTCAATTGTTTAATTCATTTATTTATATATTCATTTTGGTACTTTAGCATGTTGCATGTGATTAGACACTTCAGTAACCATGTCCCAAAAAACACAAACACCATAAGCAATACAGGAATAGGCCTACAACATTATAATATATGTACCCGTAAGCTTATACATACAAGTGTACGTAAGGTTGGAAACTGGACTTAGATTTATGTACAGTAAGGTATTTTGCAATGTACTGGTATAAACATGTGGTGTGGGTTTTCTAGAATGGCCAACAGCTATGATGAGACAGACAAGGACACTGCACTATATATATATATATATGTAGCAGCTGTAGCTTATGTAACATATAGAAATGTACAGGTATGTGTCACTTCTATTGAATAGTGAGCATATTATTACAGACACAACACGTGTGCTCTTTTGGTTTTCAACTATCATTACCCATAAGAGAACAACCATACTGTTTGTAGGCAACTTAGAGTTTAATCTCTACTCGAGGCCTTTCTAGCTGTTCTTTTAGTTACAAAATTGCCCGTCGCTGAGTTTGTGACATCAAAAAGGGTCTCTGGTATAGGGAACTTAGGGGCCCAATGGTAAGGAATGAATAAAGGCAAGATTTACAAATATTAAACTAACCCTATTGATACTAGGACACACAGTCTTCATGTACATATTTGTCACTCGGTCAAATGGATATTCATATACAACCCACCCTATGCATAGGTAGCCAAGCGGATCAAAATCATACAGGTTAGATGCATTGTATCCAATACTGTGAGTGTAAATTGTTTGTCAGTTTGAGTTTTATCATGATTTGACTGGAACACAGCCTGATGGGTAGGGCATTTTGTGCAGATCTGCAGACTAGTAGGTTTTACTTATAGAACAGGGGAGGAAAGATATTTTTGTCTCTGAAAAGAAAAGTTCGAAAAGATGGTGAATTATGTGAAGCTTTTTTAAAAATGAAATGTGCTCCTGTGGGCCAAGAATCTTAGATGAGTTTGCTTGTCTTTCTAATGCAATGCAGTGTAATGGTGGAAGTGAACCCTACATTTCTTTTGTAAGGGGGGAGGGGAGGGAGGGTCCTCGGTATCTTCCTATGGCCATACCTGAATATATGTACCTGAGTGTGAAATGCTTTAGGGCAGCGTATTGTATCTTTTGTGACCCTCTGTATGCCTCGTTAACCCCTTGCTGTGAACAATAGCGTCATTATCATACATATGTAGGACTGCGCGTGAATAGACACTTGAGCAACATCAACAGTTTACCTGTTAAACACTTTGGTCAGTTACCGTTAACACACATACAATATGGACAGTTGAGATGTATCGTACAAAATAAGTTTACATGTAGGTCTGTATTAGTCCATATAGCCCCTTGGTCGCTATGAATACCCAGTGATATCAGGGCAAACTAAAGTATTATACAAAATCACACTTTGAGCAACATTTTTGTAACATACTACTAGCGCTCCTTGAGTAATCAAGAGAGCGTGTCAGAGTCAATTAGGATGGACAATCCCATCTACCGCTACCTCATACAGTGGCACCAGCACCACGCCATACGGTGACTGTTTGGTCATGGATGCTGGAAATCACCAGAGTTTCTACCGGGGCCAGTTATTTTTCATATTAATAGGGGCACCCGCACTAAGACATACGACAACCGTTTAGTGTAATAGTCACTATAGCTAGGAATTCTACCCTCTACCAGGACCACAGAGCGATAGTTCCATTAGCTATTCACATATATTTTATGCCGAATCCTGTGCACATTTCTTCACTGCTGCAAAAAAATTTCACAGAAATGGCGTCGTTACCAAACTGCCCTGTGGTAGCGAGTAAGGAGTCATATATTTTCAATGTAGAGGGCTATACTCTCTTTTGAAGAGATATATAATTAGAAGATGAGTCGGTATCGGACAGGATTATTGGTCTGTGTTAACACATTACACTCACAGGCCATGAAATGAAAGAATGTCACACATTTTTCCACTTACTAATGTAACGTGGTAGGGTTTTCAGTAGTCGTGATGTTGGCCACAGTTTCACTGCATACGTTATATTGACTATGAAAAGCTCCACCAGCTTTGTAGCGTAGAAGTTGTTTTGTCAATAACTTGAATAACTCGAATAGAAATATTTGCTGATAAAGTATCAGTTTACTTTTTAAGCTACAGGGAAAATAATGTTGGCACTTCTAATATACTAGCAGATGGTGCAGCTCCGAAATCAGCGCGAAAGGTAAATTCATAATTCAAACCCGCATATTACTTATAGAAATGTACTTGATAATTCATGATTTCTCCACAATTTCTGAGTCATCTCTCGAAACTGAAACACGATGAAAATTTTTCAACTCACATTGATCTTATTGAGACTCGCCCATACAGTGATATAACAGATGCCTCTTCTGGTGACCTCTGATATCTACCATTATATTACATCCAAATTTACAAAAATTACTATAAAGGAAAGGATGTTTACATATCGTGTATTTACAAACGCTAATTTTACTTTTTGCATAAATCGCCACTTTCCACAAGAGAAAATATATGGAATTTTGAGACGAAGGGTTTTGAACTTTGATAAGAAGTTACGTTACCTAGCTAGTCCCCACCCTCCGCGACCATTGTCTTGATTGCAAGTGTAGCCACTTCAAGTCACGTGGATTCCGCAATTTAACCGTCAAGCTGGCGTATCTGTCGAAAAACTGTCCTTATCAGCGACAGCCATCTAAGATAAGAGCCGCATTATGTGAGATGTGCTCGTATTTGCTTTAAGATTCAATATATGTAATTCTAGTCTCACCCGTATATAAAGAGATATAGAATTTGAAGCAGTAGAATATGGCAGTTCTATATAGAAATATAAGACACTGAATATCACTTAAATTATAAGTTTAACATTATTTATAGATAAAATCTCTCCTTCATTCTAAAAATCGGCAGCAGGTCTTGGCAACTGTAAATTGGCAGTTAACTTCAATAATACTTTCTTCCCCAGTTAGTTGTCTTAAAGCAAGTATTTATATTTTCTCTGTGTCAGCCCATCAAAAATATCTTACTTTTCTTTCAGCCAGCGTCTAGATGAACACCACAGACGCTACAAACGCCCTACTAATTGTACTCGTGTATTGTAGGCTTTCACTAGCTGTCCCCCCTTTCCTCATTTCTTTCAGGACACAACCCTGTGTTATTACATATTTAACCATCTCCTATTACTGCTCATACGGATAAATAGTGCGATTTTACTTCTTTACAGAGACATCGCAAGCCAAGTAGACTACATATATATGATTATAATAAATGAATGAATAAATCGATAAATAAATAATTTCTGTTAATGCCACCACTTTGAATGAGCAGGGAAACATGAAATATGTTACATTTATGATCTATTAAGCCGACCAGTCATGATCAAACAGTATATAACGTAGAAGTTGGTTTCGTCTTGTTGTTACTCAACGTGTGGCTGACGAGCGATAATGATGCACTGCTTTTAGTATGCGGGTAAAGCACACGCGACCTCAATAAGTAGAAACTACCTGTACACAATCTTATAGTGCTATAATGCTATATGTTTTCAGGCGTGTTTATACAATCTAGGGTTTCTTTACCGCAAATCTGTTACGCGATAAGTATAGTTCATCAGCGCGTTAAATTGCCCGCAGGAAATTTCAGTGATTTTGAAGCAACTTTAATTTATATCTCGAATGGTGCACTATGCTTACTGAATTAAAACGCTTGTCAAAACCAAACCCCTGTAAAAGCATTAAATATCCTAAATTACACTTTATTTCTACACCAGATTTAACGAAACTCCGTAGATTCATGGACTGTTGGATGAATGAATGAATGGTGGGTTCCATTTGGTCATAAATGCCCATGCTATGGACCATGCACGTTTAAATGTATACAATACGCGTACTGTGCTAACCCTAATACAGCTAATAAATCATTTCCCCATCCAGCAATTTGTTTGTGGATATACTGATTATTGCACGGGCTATTTACACCCCTTGTTGACATCATATACAAGAGACGCTGTACAAAGATGACAGAAACATCGAATTAAATCTTTAATGATTCATCTCTCAGTTATTTGATAAAGAGCGATGTGAAGTGTAAGATTATGTGTAGGTAAGACGGTGTACAGAGGAGGCAGGGACGGTGTTTGATTTGTATATTGATCTGTTTCATGGCATTGGTACAAGAAAGTACAGTTCATATTTACCAAGAGGGGTGGACCGTGTATGAAGGAGCAAAGTGAGTTCAGTTTCGTGGAAAAAAATGATGATCGGTCTTCTTGTTTGATTTTCTGAGGATATAGCGATAAATGCCACTCCCCCTCTTATACGCGGGGCTAGTTCATTGATATCCTTAATAGGTTTTTCAGAGTGAAGCGAAATCACATCAGATGTGGCTTTGCAATACCCGCTAACTGACAGTAACTCATCATTTTGCAGATTTCTCAATTCTTTGAAGATTAATTTATATTCACGTGATCAGAGAACTGTCATTATTTTGTCAGAGAGAGAGAGAGAGAGAGAGAGAGTCGCCCATTTAATACATTTATCTTCACATTCCGATAATAACAGTATAATACTGTCACCATGCCCCTCAGTAGCATATGCTCTACCTGGTCACCCGCAGAGAATACGCACCTGACATCTAATTAAGCATACAGGAATGTGTTTGTCTCTCACATTCCAGGAGTGAGCCACTTATTTGGTTAGATACATACCTCCGTGACCTGACATATATGACATTGATGGCCCCTATTACTGTAACAAACACCCTTCCTTCGTCTACTCTACCGAGTGTCGACCAAGAGAAGAATGTCACATTGGTCAATATGCTATTGTCATTATTATCTGTGAATAATTTTCTAATACATATACCAACACATATCAATCGTTGGAATTCTTTAATCAAATATTTCTTTCTGTTTCTAAACACATCTTTTCCATATTCATCAAGGTATTTTATATCTTTATAACTTAAATGAACTGAGACGTCATGTCCATCCCCGGTCAATTCAATTAAATTATGCTACATTTTATGAAAGCTAAATCTTTAGTTAACGAGCAGCAATGCAAATATATCTCCATGCTTTATTGTCATGGTGATGTTTCGAATATTTCAAATAGTTCAGCTTTGTTCTCACAGCATTGATTAGTCATACTGAAACAAACATTAAAACGCAATGATAGTAATTGCACTAAACAGGTGCTTGGCGCACAACACTATATATTACAATAAAACAAGAACACTTACATTTAATTCTTGGTACCAAAAGGTGTTGGGCTATATAATAACTCAATAGCCTTTAAATAATAATAATAATAATAATAATAATAATAATAATAATAATAATAATAATCTTTGAAAACAGAAATAAAATGAAAAAAAGACAGAGAAAAAAAATGAAGCTGTATAAAATACACATAAGAGACAATAATCAGCCGTAACTTAACTGGTGCCTTTTGAGCGCATTTAGATATTTAACTTTATTATATTGGAGATATACATTGTTTATGTTACTTTAATTGTCAGCATTAATTTGGTTTTATTGAAGGTGTTTCTTATCATTTTAGATATTCTGTAAGGGGCATTGAGGTTTTAGTGGACTGCGCCATATAATAATGTCTTCGTCTTATATTTATTTTTTTTATTATAGACAAGATGAATGAATCTAGCACTTTTCACTATGTCATGCACGATTAAACAATTCATCATTCAAGCCCGTTGTATGTCATTCAGTGAACGCCGTGTTTCCCCGGCCTACTGCGATATCATAACCACGTCATTAAATTGGAACGCTGAAGTAGAACACTGCGTCCTCCTCCACATCCGCCGTGGGTTAATCTTGTCATTCTGCCCTCCATTCATGTCACTGTGTTGTTTTCTTCATTAAAAAAAAAAACATACCTAGCGTTTGCTTCTTTAAAATGCAATTTGTGCATAAATCATCTAAATTCTGACACGTCTTCTGTTACAAGTCTGAATGACACTGCTTATTAAGCCTTCACAGCGCATATTCTTATCTAAATAAAAAAGGAAAAATATGTTTTTATTGTATATAATTGGACAGAACAGGTTGGGAAGCATACTGCTTCTTCAAGTCTTTTATCTCTGTCTATAAAATGATTATATATATATATATAGATACATATAGAACGCATTAGAGAAACAACAGTAAAATCGTCATGAATGAATAATCAAAATACGTCTGACTCACTTCAAAAAGCGCCGCAACTGGAAAACCGCATAAAAATATCATTCCACATTCAACAAGTAACGCAGTGGGGCTTAACCTAGTTTACCCGTATAACGTTAAGCGTGGTAATATGTGGACCTTCCTCGCCTCGTACTGGAGTATGGGAGGCCGGGGGGATAGGACGAGGAGGAGGATGGTGTGTCAGGGGGCGAGAGGGAGGGAGAGACAGGTAAAATGAACACGAGGTTCTATTAGACCGCGGTGATAATCGAAAAACAGATAGTTGACATAATGTGTACACTGTTATGTGTACAGGGTTCGTGCACTTACGCGTCATTATCGGTAATGTGTGTTTATATTTAGTTCGGTAGTGAGGTATTGCAAGGTAGATGAGTTGACTTGACACGCTGTTTATATGTTTAATCGGTTCATGGTTAGAATTTAGGGAAAATTCATCCCGGATCAATTCCGTGTAGGCTAATCTTACTAGTATATAGGTTCAATAATATTGGAGAAATTGGAATATTAAACATGGTCTCTCTCTCTCTCTCTCTCTCTCTCTCTCTCTCTCATGATTAAGACTAAAATTACATTAAATAACAACCGAGAGAGAGAGAGAGAGAAGGAGAGAGGGGAGAGTGTGAAAGAAAGAGAGGTGGACAGTGGTATTCAAACCAAAGCGTTGTAAGTCATGTCACTAAAAAATCAACGTAGACTATAGGGAATAAACCTGAAATCAACTTTAAATTATAGCCACTTTGCCGATTGTAGAGTTAATTTAGCCTTCTTAAAACTAAGAATCCTAACATCAAAGTTGGCAATTTTTTTTTTGTGTGTGTGTGTGTGTGTGTGAATTCCTTACAACTTATACAGGAAAGACCCACAAACTTAAGTATCTATGTCGCGTGCAGTTTAATAGTTGTTTATTGTTTGATGGTTAAGTAGGCCGTCTTTAAATCACTCAGCATGGGGTGCACTGGGTGGGAGAACTCAGGAGGCAAAGCGAGAGTTCACAGTGGCAGTACAGTCAACATAAATAAAGATGTCGAGTTACATACAGGGTTCAGGGGTTATATATGAAGCCAGTATGCCGTCTTCGTTTTGTCTATGAATAAGTAATGCCCTCTTTCTTCCAAAAGTATATAAATAAATGAAAAAAAGTTAATAAATTTGGTAATTTACTTAATTCTATCGATTATGTTTGTTTATACTTGTTTACATTAACTGATCAACTGTTTTATTTCTATCATTCATTTTTTATTTATTTATCTCTTATTTTGTTAACATTTCAGCCTGTAAGTGGCGGCCATCCAAACAAGTTAAACACAATTTCACAACAAGTTGATTCGCCACGGTCATATTCAAACCATGCATACGAGGAGGACAAACATGGTGGCGCCAGCAGTCATCCAGGTGCGGACCCGGCTCCTCATGAATACAGAAATATCCCTCAAGAGGGCGCTGTAGGCGCTGCCGGGCATGAATATCGGAATATCTCAGCCAATAGATCCCCGTCCCAGCAAAACAGGAGCCGTGGATCTGAGAGAGAAGACCCTCACCGCTCATATAGGAATATACCAGAACAAAATGGTTCCCATGGGAATTACAACAATAAAAATGTCACAGAAATTCGGCAATTTGACGGTGCCAAAGAGTCCCCGTATAGCAGGCATAGACAAATACCACAAAAAAGGTCACAAAACTCTCGTAATAAAAAACCCTCACAGAAGGGAGATAACAGAGAGGTGGCGGAGTCACAGTATCTTCCTATGGACAGATTTAGTGGAGAGGGGCGGGACCCCCACCCACACGACGAATACGACCAACTAGCGCCGCCTAGGCATTCGTCGCCTCCAAAGCAGGCCTCACCAGAGGTCGCTGGTCACGAGTACAGGAACGTTTATGATCATAAATTCCAACCTTATGATGAGAGATCTGCGGATATCACTCGGGGAGAATCTAAAAAATCCTACCTGAATATGGAAAGGCTAGACGGAACAAGACAATCGGATATAATATTGGAGGATAATGAAGAACATTATAAACACCCAGTTAGGGCCTATGATAATCTTGCCGTTGTGAAACCCACTGTACGTCCAAACAACGTCGACGTCGGTGCCTACGACAATCCGGCGTATCGCAACAGCTCCTACGAGATCGCCCCTGGCGGAAAACCCCACCCAGAGAATACGATTCTGCGTACAGAGAATGCGTACACCGATGAGCCAGACATAGGTATAGGGCGTATCCGACGGGAGCCGAAATACGAAAGTAGAAAGTCGTATATTGAAGCAGTGGAGTCGTCCAAGGTCGATGGCGAGGACCAGAAACGCGCCGCCAAGAAAAGGGTCATTATCATTGTGGTTGTTGCGATTGCGTTTCTCATTGCTGTTGGGATTGCGCTAGGACTTTACTTTGGAATATGTAAGTTGGAACTGTTGTCTCACTTGAGTGTGTAATTTTTGTCCCAGTTGTACTCGACAATTCTCACTGTATGATACATGTATGTGAGGTCTAAGCTGGAATCCCTGCCATATAGGCTTGTTATTGGAGAATGTTGTGATATTTTTTTTTTCTTTGCAGTTGAACAAGAAAAAATTCAATTATAAGCAATCAGTATTTCAGTAGTCCTATACACGAGAGAGAGCTTTCAGTTACAACCTCACAACTTTCAAACAACATAAAAAACAAAACATTCACAATATGATCAGACATTAAACTGCACTAAGAAATAGGACAGTTTTTGAAAAAAAATTGTTTTTTCGTTAAGGGTACAAACCAGAAGAGACGTTAACAACGCCGATGCCAACGCCCACTCCCACAAATGGGCCAGCTGGTCTGGGTAAGCTCAAACGCACGTGCAGTATCAGCTAAAAAAATTCATCCCAATTCAAAAAGTTTTAAGTCTGTATGTATTTAGCTGTTTATAGAAATTATAGTTTATGGACATGGTATGTCTTGATGTTTAACCAAACATTGTCAACATTTCGATGAAAAATATAATTAATTATATTAATTAATTAATTAATTAATTAATTAATTATGCCATATAAAATCATAACGCACCTTGTCTTATTTAAACATGATTTGTGATTCCAGTCCAGTACAGTGTCGAGGCGACGATAGAGGGAACATGGAACCCCGATCTCAGTAATCCTAACTCCCAAAGATATCAAAACTTATCAGCTGCATTTAAAGAACAGGTGAGTAGTATCACTATCGGCCGTTATGTTGTTCCTTTTCGTTTTTGGTATAATGTTACTAGAGGTGAAGTAAATGTTTCAAGCTTGAAATGCTGGTTTGGTTTCTGGACGTTTTAAGTTTTCAAGCGTTTCGTCAAGGAACATATCGAATAACCAGTGAATTATAGCTCAGTTTGTTTAAGCAATTTACTATTGAATATCATAAATTTTAATATTTCAGATGAGTGTTATTCTCAAAGATGGAACATATGGTTCTCAATATAACTCTATAGAAATATCAGGATTCCGGTGGGTATTCAGTTGCTAATCCTTCAGTTTTTCTACACAAATGATTAATCACATTGACGCAGTATGAATGTTTAAAGGGTAAAAAACAAGTAAATAGCGTTTTCTAAATTTTTATTTCAAAATAAAAAAAAAGTGAGTTGGACAGTATACTTAACCTTGTCAAATGGTTTGTACCTACCTGTAGTTCGATGGAGGTGCATTATTTCGAGTCTCATTACCCCTTTTAATTTTGGCACAGTGAGATTAAACAAATGGTTGTATTGTACAATGTACCTTCCAGAAATGGTAGCATTAAAGTAGATTTCAAGGTGATATATCTCGTGTCACCCGATGCAAAGGAACCCCTTACTCCAAGAGTCGTTGAGAAGGACATGGAGACCGGTATAACCAAAGCCAGGGGAGACAAGACCCTCAAGATTGACATACAGCCCGACGTACTTATACAAGGTAGGTCCTGTCTTACTTGTTTGAGACATAATGGCAAAAGTAAAGAAAGACGGACCATTTACTTTGACAAAGTTGGAAAGGCAAAATGTTTTATTTATATACATTTTGTAGAAAATAGATATCAAAGGCAATACATATGCTGGTTGGTGATTCTATACGTTCATTATCTCATTACCTAATGTGCATAGCAGAAAGTGACTCTATCACGACAACTCAGTCAAAGATGACAACAACACAACCTGCCCTGAATATAACGACAGTCCTGTGGACGATGCCGTCTAGAGGTACTGTGGTCAGGTGACCGCACGGTGTGTTTTGAAACCCTCTCTATCACCCAAGCATGTCTTGTGTTTGAGCCATCACGTTACGCTGTAAACGTGTTCATGCCGAATAGATTTTAGCAGATCATTTTATTACTATGTGTATCTTTATATTTGCATGCAAAATTAGCACTTTCTGCTTTCAATTTGCAGAAGAAAAGAATTGGGAAGACCACTGCAGCTCATTTTTGTTTTGTTTTTGTACTTTTGTCATCCTAAAGCAGACTTGAGCCTCATTTAAACTGTACCCGTCGTGTTTGTTTGTTTGTTTGTTTGTTTGTTCGTTTATTTGTTTGTTTGTTTATTAGTTTGTGTGCCTACGTGTTATGTTTAGTGAGCTACATATCTGCATGCGCAGCCTGATAGTTTGTTTCCCTTTTTTCCACTGCTGCTTGCATGCACGCAGCACAGTAAAGTATCTTCGGGAAGTATGTGATAAAAACTAAACGACACCTTGAAAGAAGAATTTGACATTTCCAACACTGCTGCCTTTTCCAAAGTCACACAATGCATTCAAAGTATAAACGACTGTTTTTGGTGAACGAGAATAATTTCAAGTAGCCATTTATACCTCAGAACACTTTCATTGCATCAAACAAATGAATAAAGGGAAATATAAAGTAGTGAATTATGTGTAATGACATGTCATTAATCACTTGTACATAGGGTTTACACTAGTTACATAAAGTTTACACTAGTTTTTCAGCTAACTTGTTAAGATATTTAAGTCCCGTCGCTGTGTGTTCCAGTGCCGTGTTTCCTAACGGACCAAATCGCCTGTCTAAACGGGACTTGCATCAACAGAGACTTACTCTGCAATGGAAGACTGGACTGCTCGGACGGCTTTGATGAGTCGGAACTTGTGTGCCAAATTGGTAAGTTGATAAAGGATGTACTTTTGTTCTTATTCAGCAAGACAGTTTTCTCTCCAGTACATAGCATTTGGTTGTTTATATAGCTATGTTCAAGTGATTAGAATGTGCCTGTTAACGTTTCACATCATGTGCAGAATTCATAATAATATTTCTTTTCTCTCGGTCATTTCAAATAACCTCGAAGTTACTGAAAAATCAATGTCACAATTTTAGAGAATCAAAGGATTTTCCTAACGCCTAATTTTTTTTCTATTAACATTGTAGGTAAAAGTGTCACGTGCACCTTTGAGTCGGACAATGCCTGCGGTTACCAAAATGCCCCAAACCAGCGTCTGCCATGGCGCCGGTTCAAAGGGCAAACGTTTACAGCTGGGACCGGCCCCGCAGCTGACCACACCTTTAGGACATCAGAAGGTAGGTGTAATATGACGTCACCTTAAGCTGAATATGACGTCATCTTTTTATTAGATATGACGTCGGCTTTAAGGGGATTGTTTAGATGGCAAGGACTTGAGTGTGTTATTTATTATTATTATTTTTTTTTTTGCTTTGTATTCAAAAACTTTCATATCTCTTAGATATAGAATGAGTTGTGCGACATGAGATGTATTTAATAGCCAACACATCTTAATTTTTTGTTCATCAGTTGAAAGTCCAGAAAATCAATTATTCTAAACTTAATTGTAATACCATTTGTTCACCTCAGGAGCATACATGTATGTGGAGAACTCTCGCAGTATTCTCCCGACCACATCCACCCTGTGGTCGCCGAGTATAATTAACAATGCAACGTCACACTGCGTGGAATTCTACTACCATATGTACGGCCTTGACATTGGGAGACTCACCGTACTCTCGAAGCAGGTATCAGGATCAGAGAGTACAATATTCATAGCTCAAGGTGAGCGAAGAAATGATTGGATTAGGGGTCAGGCTCAGGCACCACGTGGTACCACACAGATAGGTTTCAAAGTTCAAACGAAGGGGCGTGGCCTGGAAGACCAGGGGGATATCGCTATTGATGACGTCACACTGAAAACGACCGACTGTGTTTACGAAGGTAAGTAAAAGAGACGAGTAAATTAATCACGTCTTATTTTTTCAGGACTTATTTTCGTTTATTAAAGAAATGGACCATTTTACTCGAGGAATGCAGAGTGAAATAATTTTCAATTCGTGTTTGTGCGTGCTTGGCTCGCACGTCAGTTACAAAGCACATATATGAATCGCGTGTAACATATGCTGTTGCTGTTGTTGCCAGAGGCGTGCAATGTTTTTGAAGAGTTGGAATAACATTGACTCTCGCTACGCAGCACTATACTAACAGGGTATGATTTAATCTCTTGTTGTAATAACTTAAAGTACACTTAATTTGCTTACATTTCACAAGCTGATATATAATTTGATTATGGCGTTCAAGTATTTTTGGTTTTTTAAACTGGGTTCTTTTAACCGCACGTTTGTTGTGGCAAACTTTGTTGTAAGTGGCGTGTCGTATAATTATTTGCTTGCCCCTGCTTTGAATGATTCTGGACGTGGTATTGCTTTTCATTTTTGCAGCATGCACGGAGTTTGAGTTTGCCTGTAACAACAAGCAGTGTATTCCGTCCTATCAGCGCTGCGATAACTTCTCTCAGTGTTTGGACGGAAGTGACGAAATGAATTGTGGTAGGTTCAGTCAACGATTAGAATACATTTAGGCTGCCCAAGTTTTTTTTAATTTACATTTTTTTTAACTTCAAATATGTGCTTTTAGATCATTGTTGTGGTATATACTGTAAGCGACCAGAAACAGCCTCATCATTTTGAAACTTTGACATTAAAATTAACTTACAAAAAGCTAATCCAAGGTATACAAGTTACGGATCTGAAAGACAACTATTTATATTCATGCAAATTGTTGTATATGAATTAATATCTCACGTACTCGCAAAACATAAAAAATACGACTAATTTCCGGACGTTATAGAAGACATAATAATGGACTCAGTTTGGAAAATGTGAGAAAAAATAAGATTCAAAAGACAAACTATACAGACCTCAGGCTAAGGAAATTACCAGGAGAACTATATCCTCGTTATGACCGATATACTTCCCCTCTCATTCCAGAGTGTCCAGTGAACAGGGTCAAGTGCCCGGGAGAAGCCAAGTGTATCATGAAAGACTGGCTATGTGACAGCTACAGGGACTGTAATAACGGCTGGGACGAGGAAAACTGTCGTAAGTCCCATCATGTAGTCGGCTTTACTGAAATGGATAAGAAAGACTAGGGAATATGGATACATGTGGCAAATATTTTCCGCTTGCCAGCTTTAACATTATATTACAGCCTATGCCTTAATGTTATTTCCTTGTTAGGCTACAACAATACGAATATATGTTTATAAAATATAAACAAAATATTGGAAATGATGATATGATGGATTTGCAGAAGTAATCTGTACGAGCTGACTTTCATAAAATAATTCAATTCTGACGATGTACAATATGAATTTTCTAGCGCGCTGTTCCACGTCGGAGTTCGAGTGTGGAGACAAGAGTTGTATCCCTGCCTCCCAGAGATGTGACGGTACGAGCCAGTGCCCCGGGGGAGCGGATGAGCAGCGTTGTGGTATGTGTCTTCCTCGCTATTCAAACCATTATCTTTTAATTATTCCGCCAGATGGTGGTTTGTACTAATTAAGGTTTTCGAGTCTACTTTGAAGGGTAATCATTTGGCCCGTGTTTTGTAAATAACCAATGTAAAACATATATGTCCCGAAATGAAACAAACGCAAGATGACTAAACTTTTAGTTTGAACTTTAAAAGGAAAAACTGTGCCGCGAGCCGGGATTGAACCAGCGACCTTCAGATCTCTGGACGACCTTGTGCTTCACAAGCCGGCTTCAGTCTGACGCTCTCCCAACTGAGCTATCGCGGCTCTCATACCCTTTAAAGGTGGATAGTTTCTCCGGTGATATAAAGTGATATAATTAGGGATAATTGGCTTACTGATGTCAGATAAATTGGTAATTTGTGCGTATTTGAAAACGCCCGAGTCATACCTAATTGTTACCAATGACTTAGACATATAATTAGAAGTAAATTGACAAAGGATACATTAAGAAAAAAAGAACGTGGCAATCTTCAGAAAAAATAAAATAAAACAAAATAAAATAGATAAATTTAAAAAAAATTGCCGCGAGCCGGGATTGAACCAGCGACCTTCAGATGTCTATGCTCCACAAGCGGGCTTCAGTCTGACGCTCTCCCAACTGAGCTATCGCGGCTTTCATGTGGTTGCGACATTGGATAGTTTCGCCGCTGATATAAGGTGATATAATTAGAAATAATTGGCTTATTGGTTGGAGATAAATTGGTAATTTGCGCGCATTTGAAAATGCCCGAATCATAACTAATTGTTACCAATGAATTAGACATTAAACTGGAATTAAATGTATAAAGTATACCATAAGAAAGATGTGACATTATTCAGAAAAAAATAAAACAAAATAAAATAAATATATTGAAAAAAATTGCCGCGAGCCGGGATTGAACCAGCGACCTTCAGATCTCTGGACGACCTTGTGCTCCACAAGCCGGCTTCAGTCTGACGCTCTCCCAACTGAGCTATCGCGGCTGATATGTCCTTCCAGCTATGGATATTGTCGCGGCTGATGTAAAGGTGACGCAATAAGCATAATTTGCATAATTATGTGATATCGATGTGATATGAAAGATAACTCGCACGCATCTGCAAAGGTAATTATCTCTCCCAAGTCAGACCTTAAATGCGATAATCTCTCCTCAAATAAAAGCTTATCTCAATTGTACCTAATGCCGACATCTTCTTCTGAGCCTTGGGCCTCATTCACAATAGGGAACTAACTATAACATCGCCACGGGATATAAGTGTCTATTAGAGGAATAGACGGCAAGCTTTGTAGTGTGTCGCCATACTTGACCCTCGGACTAGTTAGTCCCCTATTCTGAATGGGGCCTTAGATTCGTTTATGGTCAATGCCTGGGCATGGCGGTATCTAATGCAGGAAGAAATATAGTTCAAAATATGCACACATAACTGTAGTCAATGGTTCGTGTAGGGTTTTACCTACATATTTAATTCCAAGTAAGCATACACAGGATGCGAAATGTTTAAAATGATATATCATAAGGATTCAAGCCGCGAACGAAGTTATGATTTGCATACTTATGTAATGTCGATGTGTTTGAGAAAACACTAGTTTGCACATGTAGTAGGTTGAACATGGACATCAAAGGGAATAAGAATTTTTTTAAATTTTTTTTCTTCAAATTAGAAGTTGAAACTACTTCATTTAGTTTATAACATATTGTTTACAAGTTTCCGTCAAATCTCAAGTCTGTTATCTGTGCCACATTTTTCTAAACCAGCTTAATTATCAGAAAAAAAAATACTACAGTGATCAGGCTGTCCATAATTTCACAAGGAAACTACGAATAAAGTTTATATTGATGTCTTTACAGTGCGCCGAGCGTCCGCCAACAACGTCATTGAGGTGTACCGTGACGGCGATTGGTACCCTATATGTGCATCAGGCTGGACAAGTCAACTGACCAGTGACCTGTGTGACATGCTTGGCGAGGGGTGAGTGTCCTAAACTTTATGGCAATATTTTATCAACAGTAACTGTCTCTCATCTTAGGAGGTCTGAAAGCGTCTTTCGAATATCCGTTGTCCACGTCTTTGTCAGCTTTATTTTACGTTCGTCAAAATTACAGCGGGACATGTACAGTAAGTGGGCACAGATATATTTGAAAATGGTTTTATTTGATTTTTTTTCCTTTCTAAGTTTGCTTGGATGATTTATCTGCTGTTTTAGACATTTGCAGCTAGAGTACGATAAACACAATTAATATTTAAGGGTAAAAATGGTAGGGCCTATCCTTTATCGTATCATATCATATCTTTAAATATCTCCATAACAAAACACATGAAAATACACAACAGTAATACAATAGCCTACAATACGATTCTATGCAATCCAAGATTACAATACATTTATAATACCACATTCCACTTTTTCATCTACTGAATATTTGTTTTCACTTTTAAAGTGATTTGGAGCAGGATCAGCGTCCCACTGTGAATTCTGCGTCATACCTCAGCGTTGGACGAGTCACGGGATCTCTTCTTGGAGCTCTCTCCATGAGGTAACCACAGAACATCTGTTTGGGCCATAGGTGGCTTAGTGTAGAAGACGAGCTTTTTTATATAGTTTTTTTATATATGCCTTTCCTCTGTCATTTGTTAATCACAAAGCAATCTCTGTAAAATACGTGATGTTGATAGTTTTCAGTTATTTTGTAATGGTTGATCTTTGCACTGCTGATGTTTGAAAATGTAAGCAGCTACTTTTAATGCAGTTTTCATATACGGGTTATTTTTCTTTGGGGACATGCCCAAAAAAGTGTTCTGTACCATCATAATCCTTCTTTTCCATCCTGTGTGCTCCAAGGAATTATTTTCTTTGTTTTTGAAGAGGTGATGATGATGATGTCGAGGGGGTAAAAGGTAGCCATCTAGCGTTTGATCTTTGAAAAATATCGACGCTTTTTACAGTGGCCTTGTATTACGTATGATGCAGACATTTTTTTCTTGTTGTGAGATGTCAGGATTTTTTCTTGTTGTGAGATGTCAGGGTTGACAAACATTTTCTTATTTTCAGCTCTCAATGTTCCAATAACCGCGTGGTAGGAGCTGTATGCAAGCCAAAGAGTAAGTTCTTATAATTTGCGTCTCTTGGCATATAGGCCTACAATAAACATCTTATAACAAAAATATTGAAAGTTAGTACGTAATCGAAAAATCTTAATAAACAATTTATCTGTGAAATAGGATACATGTTATTCCGAAGTTGTGTGTGTTTATTTGTGTGTGTGTGTGTGCGTGTGCGTGTGTGTGTGTGTGTGTGTGTGTGTGTGTGTGAGAGAGAGAGAGGGAGATGAAGGGGGTCACACCCATCACGGGTAACTTCCCTCAGGTCTCCGCCTACTGCACGGAGACACACCCTCCCATTGACACCATAAATCATACGCTTTCAGCCTGCGGACGTCCCACCATCGGTCAGCTGGCCCCGATGATCATCCACGGGGACGATGCCCCGGACGGACGGTGGCCGTGGATGGTGTCCTTGCTGGCCAATGACGTGCATAAGTGTGGGGCCACGCTCATCAACAGGCAGTGGGTGGTCACGGCGGCACATTGTGTCTGGTAAGAATAAAATGACCACTGGTAAAGCATGGTAAAAAAGGATTCAATGTTCGGTTATGCTAAGAGAGGGAGATTTCTGAAAACGTGTATGAATGAGACCTCTCTAAGTTTATAGTTGTACACACCAAAACATCCAGAATTAAAATGCCGATTCAAACATGCCTTAGAATGCATACTGTTTGAAATCGACCTTCTTCTTTATATTTCTATTTATTTGCTATTCACTTAAGTTCGAAGTCAATAACTAATAAAAGAGTGTGTGTGCGCTCCGTTAACCGCTTTTCTTTTCTTTATTAAGGGATTTCGCAAGCAACTTGTATCGTCTGAAAATTGTCCTGGGCACCACGCGGCCTGGGGAACAGTCATCGTCCAAAGTTCAAATGAGGGTGAGGACAGCGGTCATCCACCCCGACTACGACACCAGGAACCCTTACAAAGGAAACGACATCGCTCTGCTGCAGTTATTCGAACCTGTCAACTACACAGCGTACATCCAGCCAATATGTCTGCCCAAATCTCGCGAGAGCGGGGCTACGTATCCCGTGACGTCACGGTGCTACACGACCGGCTGGGGTTTTACTGATAGTGACCTGCAGACGGAGCCAGTGGTCTTGCAAGAGGCGAAGATGAAGGTGTGGACGCCCGCTGTGTGTAATAGTAGCAGTGGACACAACGGGATTATCCGAGATTCCATGGTCTGTGCCGGATACTACTCCGGATACATATCCGTTTGTCAGGTATGCCCTTGTTTTACAGTCAGGTCATAATTTTATATTAGACAAAGAAAAATAAACTGAAATGCCAAATGCACAAAAATGTGTGATGTGAGAAAACACATTATTAAGAATGGAAAGTTTATCATCCATCTGAAATTTCTTAGTCACCATAGGACATTTTTTCAAAAAATATATATATATTTTTTATTTATTTTGAAATCTATATTCATAATGAATCCTTACTGCATATTATGTATTGAGCCTTCTTTTGCTGGTTTGATAATGCGATGAGACTCGTTTTTATTTATTCATTTATTGATTGATTTCGTACACAGAAAGACAGCGGAGGACCCTTGGTATGCAGAGACGAGTTTGACAGATGGAAGTTGATCGGTGTCACTAGTTTTGTAGCTCAAGGCTGTGACGTCCCCAGGAACCCCGGGATATTCACCAAGGTGGCCGATTTCGTCGACTGGATGCATCCGTATATATGTAAGTATGCTTGCATATAAGTCGAATGTGCAAGTGTTAATTTTGTTGATACAGTTAAATCATACAGCATACGCTTGAGGGATCGATTTCTCAATTTAGGCCTTTTACACAACGTGCATTACGCTTAACTGTATCGAAATACCGGTACCCAGGGAGATTGGAAACTTATAAGCCTGGATAACACCCTGGGTAGTCATCACAACACAGCCAAAAATTAAACTGGTCAAAACATTTGGAAACGATCTTCTTATGATGAAATCATTAACAGTCCAATCTCTATACTAAGTAAAAGCGTATCTGGAATAGCTTTCGTCCCAACAGTTAGGACTTCATCACTCACGTTGAAGTCAGGGAACAGTGTATAATTTCATCATAATGAGTAGCTTTACTCCAAGATCACTTTCCATCAGAATAGTGGAAACTAATTTGATTTTTTATTTTTTTTTCTTTCAGCCCCCAACTGTGGTCCCAGTCAGTTCCAGTGTCCAGTGTCAGGTCAGTTGCAGTGTCTTGACCTTGACCGACGCTGTGACATTCTCCATGACTGCGACGACTACAGCGACGAGCTAGGCTGCGGTGAGTGGAGTTCTATCTTGTCCCCATTTTCTTAAATTTTCTTAACATTTTTTCTGCTTAAAATGTCCCTTTTACTCCTCTCCCCAATACTACATTGTAGACCATGTGGTTTGCTTTATTTTCTCTTAGCATGACTTCTCTCCCTTTTTTTCTGTCTTTTTTCCTTCTAAATTTCTTCATCTTCATATTTTTCTTTGAATTTTTTAAAAACATATTTTATGCTCTGTGTGTTTAATAAATGTCATATTTTGTCTAGGTTGTCCTTTTCTGCTGTTGTTCTTGTTGATCATATCATTTCAACACGAAAAGTTGTCGTTCACAGATATTGTCCTCATGTCTTTCATCATGACTAAGTCAGTGTTCTTTACTTACAGTCTGTGAACCTAACGAGTTTTCCTGCCCCAATGACGGTTTGTGCTGGCCGTCTCTGTACAAATGTAACGGGAGTCCGGAATGCGTGGACGGCTGGGACGAAAGTCCGGAAGCCGGATGCAGTAAGTATTCTCGTATTTTCTCGCCTTTTCACGCTCCGCCGTGCATTGTCTTACATGCTTCAGCTCTCACTCTAGGCCAATTTCTGGTTAAATTTTTACGAAATCAGTTTAGTGATCCATACAATCTTCTGTTTTTTGTCATTTGCTTGTGATCAAAATGTTAACATACTCAGATTTGAAGACACAATGTTGGTCAGAATTATCTATTATTTTTTAAAATTAATTTGTGCATTTCAATGATTTGAAAGCCATGTCTTTCTGTTCAGTACAGTACATGTGTGTATCTGTTTGGATCAAAGCTCTATTAGATGGCATATGCATAATGTGCATTGGGTTTTTATTACGCGATACTATAACAACATATAAGCATGGCGATGCTAGCCAAACCGAAGATGGAATGCCAGAAGTCTTAAAATGCAACAGAAAGCTCAATTAAAAACAGCATGAAGCATTTTCAACTAATAAATAGCAATGGTTTTATAAACAGATGTACATGCACCTCCTTGTTTGAAACCTTTCACAAAAACGACTTACCATTTACTCTGCATGAACATATAGTACCATGTAAAAGACGTCCAATATAAAAATGATATTATATTAGCGCCAGTGAGTTTTATACTTTTTTATGCTACCTCTACATACTACACAACTGACCCCCTCCATCCATGGCCCCACGACTTTTTACATTTTTTCTCACCAAGTACGTCTGGCTATTAGTATGAATTCCTGTGTGTTCACCATTAGTCTGTCTACAAGTAAATATAGTTTGACAAGGCATGGTAATTAGGTATCACGTTTGTTCCACTCTTTATATCTATCATAGCAGATCTAACTTTTAAGCAAAATGTCCCTTAGATACGCATCATAGCTTTATATTGTATTACTTTGGTTAGTTAATGAAGTGTGGTGCATGTTTCTTAGACATTACGATCTGCTTTTCCCTTTCAATGAGCTTATCTGGTAGGAAATGCAACTGGAATGTTTCCGATTTGAATTTCTAAAGCCACGTCTCTCTAGGCTTTTATCTTTAGCTCTATCCGGCATGGGAAGCAAAGTCGCTTTAAAGTCTGAATATTTCCCGCCGCTTGCTGCTCAGTCTGCGTGATGCCCTCCAACAGTTGCTATCGTCTGCTATATTTTAGCTATCGTCTGCTTTCTTTGCTAGTATATTCTATTGTTGCGTGTGCCTCGTGGCTGCTTGGCTGCAAACAAAGTAACCAATCTCGGTATCTCTTTCCAGACTGAAAGACGCTGGAAGGGGCCCGACAGGTGGCGTTGGTCTTCGTGTCGTGTGACTCTATTCTTCAGACTAATTCCGCTGGGTGTCCTGATAGCTTTCACCGGGGTTTCCTGCTTACCTTGTTGGTGATATGGACCGTTAATGTCGCAAGACGCTAACTGTTCAATTTGGATTGAGGACGGTGTTAAAAAAGACTGTGTCCTTAATGCTGGACATTATCCAAACGGCTGTGTTTGTTACATTAACGTCCTTCGCATCGATTCCTTTTCTTTGCCAAAAGAACAGTACAAATTATTCCAGTGAAGTTGATTTGACTGTGATGCGTTACTGTCATATTAGAGACATTCCGTATGATTGCCATAATGCAGTGAGTTATCTGCTGTATTACTGCAGTGATTATTACTTGTGGATTTGATCATTCATAGCTCATTACAAGCTGGGAAAAGCTATTTTCACGGATATAGGGACCTATTTGGCCATTTTATATATTTTTTTGGCCTTTAAAAGGTGCATGCCATCTAAATGTAAATATAAGTGTATATAACAACTCATGTTGTTACCATTTATCTGCCATTCAATTCATCATGCAACACAAGGTCTCTTTTACTGTGTAAGTGCTGGGCATACATGTACATTGTACATACGGTCAAGGTCATCAGTGACTAGAGTTGCTTCACGGAAAAAAAGAAGTCAAATAATACAATGTATAGTCTATGTCCTTTATAAGGTACACGCCAGTCCAAATGGAAATTTAGGTGAATTGTTCATTTTATTACACCTTGTCTGCCAATTACAAAAGTATACGAGACCTGTTTATGTGCTAGGTATAGACACAGTTCAGGTCACCAGTGCCATTCCCGGCCTCTTTTAAGGAGCCCTTCTTATATCTGCACTTTGGCCATTTGAATCACAATTCACAAGACAACTTTCAAGTTTCTCTTATAGATATTAATGGCACATATTGTGCAAAAGAACATATTTTTGTCAATATCCGACATTATTAAATTCACGTTGCCATTTTAACTGCCATAACTGCCATTATATATATATATATATATATATATATATATATATATATATATATATATATATATATACGTAGTCATATTGTACTAGTTTGTATTGTTATATGGATGTTTAATACTTTGAATGCTACCTCCAGAATGGTGTTGAAATTTACCGATTACACAAACACACACAAACACACATATACATTCAAAGAGAAAGAGAGAGGGAAGATAGACAGATTTACAGAGAGTCTGAGAGATGTGAAGTGTTGAGGAAACAGGAAATGTACTGTAATTATAGTTGTTATTATAAGATCATTAAAAAAATAAATATAGACAGAAGAAATATAATTAAGATATTACGTGTACGTTGTTTTGTTTATAGTATAGAAAAACGGATTCGTTTTTAAATACTTGTGTAGGCTTTCTAAATATGAACTCGAGGAGTAGTATGAAAAGGATACAATATGAATTTTATTTGCTAACTGATATCTTAGGAAGAAAATGTCGATGATTATAGTCATTTTGTGTAAGAAAAATTATCATTGTAATGATAAGGAATATACTAATTGAAATGAAAGACAAATCAATGTTAAAGTTGATTCTGTTTCAGTACAGCATTAGGTCTTTACCATAGTAAATAAGATGGAATTTCCATATTATTTTTCTAACTTGAAAATAAAACGATACTATAGAAACGACGAAGGTTCCACTGTGTTTAACCACCGCTAATTGTTTGCAAGGGAAAACGGGATAATCGAAGTATGATGCTAATTTTGTCTAAACAAAACCTTTTTCTACGTCTTTCTGTTTTCGATGTTTACTTTTATTGTTGGACGCTGTGTTATTTGTCCTAGGTGTTGTTGAACGTAATTTTAATGTGTACCATTCCAATATGCTTAAAGAAAATGAACATTTCATGTTTAAAATCTTTTAGATTCTAAAATATGTCAAAATATTTAAACACTTTATATGCCTTCTCTAAATGCCTATTTTTCTTAACATTAGAGGGAGTAAAATTTAAATATAAATGTTCTCTTCTTTGAGAGGAACAATTTACAACCTCTGAGATATATATGGCATGTAGAAAGTGAATGGAATATCTTTTGTGTACAGACTATAGGCCCTATAGTTATCTTCATCAAAATGTTCTGAAGTGAATTCCGAGAATCAATAGTCTAAAGCCTGAAGCAACAGACAGTTCAGTGTTCATTTTTAAGTATAAAAAAAAACAAAAATGTTTTTTTTTTAATTTATTAACCTTATTTCACTTTGAAATCTTACGCTTCATTAATTGTAGTACGTATTTCTTCCTCCCTCCATTTATCTATCTATTTGTCTACATGTATCTATCTATCTATCTGTCTATCTATCTATCTATATATCTATCTGACGACCTGTGTTTCTGTCTGTCTGTCATATACAGTTCTTAAATATTTTTATAAATATTTCAGTCTGTGAGTTCCAGTGCGGGAATGGCAAGTGTATCAAGAACACCAGTCGCTGTGATAACCTGGGTGATTGTACTGATTACACCGACGAGCTGGGGTGTGGTAAGTATTCTTCACGGGAGGGCGATGGGAGTCTTCAGGCCAATACCCCGGTCCCTTGCTAACACAAAATGGCGGGACCCCCCCTCCCCAGTTCCTAAAATGAGAGCAAACATTTGCATATACGGCCAACAGAGCTCCACAACGTATTTCAAAATCAATTCATCTGCGAAGCTGCCGCAATATTCCATATGGCAAATTTAGGCCAAAGTTACTGTTTAAGCGTCAGAAAAAAAGAAAACTTTAAGTAACATTATACATAGAGTTATGAAGACGTAAATTGTTAATTTCAAAAAACTAAAATAACATATGTTCATTGATACTTCAACGTTATTAACATGCTCATTAACATTTCCAGAATGTTTCACCGATGAGATCCAGTGTCCAAACACCGGTCTCTGTATACCGCCCTCGCTCCGGTGTGACGGCTATAACGACTGTGGTGACAACTGGGACGAGACAGGGTGCGACCTCTGCCGGAACAACAATGGCGGCTGTAGCCACTTCTGCGCAACTGTGAACGATACCAAGGTTTGCTCCTGTCCTGCGGGATATAATCTGCTACCAGATGGCGTTACTTGTGCAGTGTGTAAGTAGATTATGGTGGAATACTGTGGTCATCTGTTTCTTTTTCTTCTTTTCTTTCAATCATTTTTCTTTCTTTCTTCGTTTGATTTATCTATTTTTTTATATTTGTATTTATTTATTTATAATTTATTTATGTATTTGAATTTAATAAAATGTATTCTATGTCGAATCACGTAGTTTTAGTCTTATTTACTTCATTTTTCTCATGTACGTATGTCTGTTCCAGCCTGTCCGTCCGACCACTCCCAGTGTTCAGACGGCAGCTGCATCCGGGTATCTCAGATTTGTGATGGTTCTAATGATTGCTTCGATGGCCAAGACGAGAGCAACTGTGACCCATGTCGGGAAAACAACGGCAACTGTAGTCACACGTGTGTAGCTTTGAATGTCACCCACAGACAATGTCTCTGCCCGCGTGGTTATAGTACCTTGCCGGACGAAAGGACGTGTGCGAAGGGTAAGTTTTCAGGGCAACTCTACAGAAGCCTTGTGCCACTGAAATAACGTAAATAAGTAGGCCTATATTCCCAAGTAGAAATATGCACCATTTTATGTCGATACATTTCTTTCCTTTTCTGAATGAAGCTAATCTCAATTATAGGTTGTGCCCTTTCACGCTTTTTCATCATAATACAAAATGAATAGAACTTGCACGTGCTACTGCACGTCAGTATTTCACGTGACGTCGTTGCCGTAAAATGGTACTTTCAGAGTGCGAAAGAGGTGAATTCAGGTGCGACGATGGCAGATGTCGTATTGTTGACTTCTGGTGTAATGGCTACCACGAGTGCCCGGACAGCAGCGATGAAAAACCCGGATGTGGTAAGTACGGTTTGTCTCAAAGAAAGAAAATATTATAAGAGAACGAAGTTTACTTACACTATTGGAATTTCAGTGCACTTGCACTGTGTCAGTTGATTGGAAGAAAGTCAATTCAGATATATTAAAATTCTGTTTATTAATCAACTAAGAGGGAGGGGGTGGAGGATGCCACGAGGTATCAGATATTTCATTTGTTACTGCAAATAATTTTTGTTTAAGTATGTTTTGAGTTATATAAAATATATTATTATCCTAGAGAGCCATCCAGTTCAGTTTAGGTACAGTAATATCCAGTGTATAATGTAAAGTGAAACAAATTGTTATATTATAGGCCTATATATTATTATATATTATTATTCCAGAGTGTCGTCCAGACCAGTTTCGGTGCAGTAACGGCCAGTGTATTATGCAGCACAAGGTGTGTGACAGGATATTTGACTGTCCGGGCGGAGAAGACGAACCAGCAAACTGCAGTAAGTTCTCTTCTCTTATCCTCTCTCTCTCTTTCTCTCTCTTTCTCTCTCAAACTAAAACGTGACAAAAAAAGCGTAACGTAAAATTCACGAGGACCCAGAAAGAATTCACATTTACTACACACTTTCCTCCCATGATTTTGGTATCGTTCAGATGGACCCCACTTGTTCATTACAAATGGCATTTGTTAAACGTTACAAATTTAATTACAGCTTTCTGTGATAATCAGTGGGGATTCAAGTGTAAACCGTCCGGCGTGTGTCTCAGCGTTTACAGAACTTGCGACTTCAGGAACGACTGTGAGGATTTCTCAGACGAAGCCAACTGCAGTAAGTAGTGAAGATCACAGTTCTGTTCTAGCGTCCAGTTTTGGTTTATTCCCTTTTTTATATCGTATTCCGCTTTCTGTTGCCGATATCATGCAGCCTTCCCCCCTCAAATGATGTACAATCCTTTTCCCATTGTTTTGTACTGAGAAGTCCTGTCTTAGATCTAAACCCTGTCAGGCAACCCAACCCTAAGCTCTCTCCCCTTCAGATGTGCAGTCTCTAGGCTACACGGACCCTCCATTTCTTGACACCGGTTTCACGCGTTCTTTTTAACATTAATGTACGTGAATTTGGTTGAAACCACAAAACAGGTGTATCTCATTGTAATATATATCTGATAATGTTTTACATTGGTTTAGTGAAAGCCTAGAACCAGGTGTAGAGAATTCTCATATGATTACAGACATATGTAAAAGACGTATATGCCCGCCTCCCTCTGTGAATAATGTGAACGAATATTAATCTTTTTAGCGTTTGGCCTAGAGACATTTGCCTTTATATAAATTTTTTAATATGTTGCAGAAACTTGTTTAAGACGTGCACCCCTTTAATATAAATAAAGTGAATGAATATTTCTCTTTGTAGCGTGTGGCCCCGGGACCTTTGCCTGTAGCAGCGGACATTGTGTTAGGAACACGTCATTCTGTGATGGCCAGCCTGACTGCCCGGATGCTAGTGATGAACCTATCCACTGTGCCGCAGGTAAAAAAATCGTCCTCTGTATTATTTGTTTTATATATCAATTTATCGTCATTTTTAAAACTTATTTGAAATCAAAAATGTATTTAAATCTGTTGGTATGGCCAAGTTTGTAAAACTTATCGTTGTCGAAAAGACAAAATAATAATAGAGAAAAAGTGTGCCGCGAGCCGGGATTGAACCAGCGACCTTCAGATCTCTGGACGACCTTGTGCTCCACAAGCCGGCTTCAGTCTGACGCTCTCCCAACTGAGCTATCGCGGCTTTCATGCGAATTGGCAGAGGAAAATTTCGCCGCTGATATAATTTGATATAATTATGAATAATTGGCTTAATGATGGGAGATAAAATGGTAATATGCGCGCATTTGAAAATGCCCGAATCATAACTAATTGATACTAATGACTTATAATAGTTATATATCAAACTATACCTTAAGAAAAATGTGGCAATCTTCAAAAAATAAATAAATAAAACAAAGTAAAACAAAATGTAATAAATTGAAAAATGGTGCCGCGAGCCGGGATTGAACCAGCGACCTTCAGATCTCTGGACGATCTTGTGCTCCACAAGCCGGCTTCAGTCTGACGCTCTCCCAACTGAGCTATCGCGGCTTTCTTATCATTTTGAAAGTGGATCGTTTGGCCGCTGATATAAAGTGATATTATTAGGAATAATTGGCTTACTGATGGAAGATAAAATGGTAATTTGTGCGCATTTGAAGATGCCCCAGAGTCACGCTAAATGTTACTGATGACTTAATTATTAAACTAGAATGAAATTTACAAAGGATAAATTGAGAAAAAAGGTGACAATCTTCAGATAAAAAAAAATAAATAAAACAAAATAAAAATAAATTTAAAAAGTGATGCCGCGAGCCGGGATTGAACCAGCGACCTTCAGATCTCTGGGCGATCTTGTGCTCCACAAGCCGGCTTCAGTCTGACGCTCTCCCAACTGAGCTATCGCGGCCGATTTTTCTATGAAATCAAAATATTTTGTCTGGCAGAAGCATCAATTCATATCAAATCATTGTCTCCCTTGTCAGCTTGCAGTCCAGATTTATTCCGCTGCCACAATGGAGAGAAGTGTGTGCCTCAGAACAAGCTTTGTGACGGCCAAAACGACTGCAATGACTACTCCGATGAGACTGTTTGTAGTAAGTATACAGACATTTAACACGTTATAGCATAAAAAAAAACAATTAGAGTTATAATAAATAATATATCTTAAGGCATTATTATACAAATTATGTACTGTATATTCAGACTTGGACAAATTCGGCTAAGATTCAACTGCAGATCAAGCTTAATACATATACCACCATTTGTCTCAAATTTTGATTTAATCATTGGAAAATAGTTATATATCATACTACGTTTTTTTTTGTTCTTAAATGTATAATGCTAAATGGTTGTATTATGTATTACTTAATTGTAACTACATTATATTATATTATATTATATTATATTATATTATATTATATTATATTATATTATATTATATTATATTCCAGACTGTACCACAGGTCAGTTTAAGTGTGCCACTGGACAGTGTATATCCCTGGCACTAACGTGTAACGGCTTTGACAACTGCGGAGACCAAAGTGACGAGAAACAATGTAGTAAGTGAAGTTTTTATCTCGTATATCTGGTCTCTAATTTCCTCATTTTATGTTGTTACATATCACAATGTGTGTGGCATGCGCAATGTAGGAAGTAGATTGCACTAGATTGCAGTAGCCTACTAAAATATTAGCATTAAAATTATGTGGTATGGCTATAAGCAGTGGTTTTCAATATTTTTGGGGAAATCTAGTGTGAGTGAAGAAAACCGAAGTCAGTTATTTTATACTAAATATACAATAAGGATTTATGACGGTGTAAAAGAAGATGAAACAAACGTATCACAGAACGGAATATGATCATATAAAATTAGCTTTAGATATATACAATAAATAAGACCTAAAACTCATGTGTATATGTTATTTATTTATGTTGATCTAGTAAAGTAACACAAACAAATTAAACTTTCCCAGGTTGCCAATCTGATCAGTTTCGCTGCACAAATGGGATCTGCCTGTCACGTGACAAGTTGTGTAATGGCTTCGACGAGTGTACGGACAATTCGGACGAACAAAGATGTCGTAAGTGTCTTGTGGTATCACTCCATGTGTTTCTGGTGATAATTGAGGCTATTATTTTGACAGTGTCTGTAATTACATGTTTTTTACATTTCAAAAATGAAAAATCAATTATTCATGTCCTAATATTCTAATATTGTATCAACACTCAATAAGTTCGATTTAGTTCAGTTTATGCATGCCTCATCCCACCATACACGCGTCGGACAGTAGCACATGCTTGAAAGCATACATGTTTGAGCACACGCTCAAAATCATGAACGAATCGGAACGTCATAGCCCAAATATTAAATAAATTAACATATATTCATTAATTAACGTTTTTATAAACTATTAGCTGCTGTTACCATGAAAACGACTACTTCAATCTAAAATGTACTATTCGTGATGCTTCATTTTTAACGTTTATTCTTTCTCTCTCCAACCAGCTTGTCGTACCGGGGAGTACAGGTGCGCAGACGGTTCCTGTATTATGAACGAGTGGCTGTGTGACGGCAAGGACGACTGCCCTGGAGGACAGGACGAACTAGGATGCTGTACGATATTATTATTATTATTAATATTAGTAGTAGTAGTAGTAGTAGTAGTAGTACATGTAGTAGTATTTAATTTCATTTGTCGTTATTTTTTTCACAACGGTTATTCAACATGTCATGAGTTCTATCTAAAAAAGCGATAAAAACAAAAATATGTTAGTACACTCAGTCCAGTGTTGTCAAAATTCCTATTTAAGAAAAACAATATCAGCGACATAAAAGGTGACTTTTAGAGCAACAGCTTAAATGTGCATTACTCTACCCTGCTCATATTTTTCTTTCAATTATTCAGTTGGAAAAAGGACTGCAGCTTTAGATCATATACTGTAATACAGCTATGGTGCAAGAACTTTACTCTTTTTTAAACGAGTAATAATAATAATAAGTTCTTCATGTTTTCCTACCCTCAGATGCGTGTAATCCGGGGGAGTTCTCGTGCTCTAACAGGGTATGTGTCTCTGGCACCCTGCAGTGTAACGGGGTTGACGACTGTGGTGACATGTCTGACGAGGACGGCTGTGGTAAGGAGACAAGTACCATTATTCATATTTAACTAAATACCACCCCAAGTGGCGTAGTAGTTAAGTGATAGTGATAATAATAACATTCAAGTAAAGATACACTGTCCTAGTAATTCTGTCCTTGTTTTGACGGCTGTGGTAGATTATCCAATTCAAGTGTGATATTTGGCATTTTGCGAAGTCAGAAAGATTATAGAGCAGGTGCAAAGTTGCTAATTGGATTCAGTCAATAAAGAGACTGGTAAAATAAAGAGCAAAATTAAAAAAAAAATGTTTGAGAATCAGCGTGCGTTTAATTTGATATGATATAGAAAATGCATGAAGTAAAGGTGGATTGCAGTACCCATTATTTACTCATACTGTTTTTTTTTAATGAAATCGATGAACACTCCGAATGTAGTACAGCATTTAGCGGCTGTCAACTATTATTTCTCTTTGTATATTTTATGAATATTACTCTCATACTGTTTCTCTTTCAGCACGTATTTCTTCCAATGACCTTGAACTGATGAAGAACGCGTCTTGGTACCCGGTCTGTGCTGCCACCTGGAACACGACCTGGAGTGACACTGTTTGTCGCCAAAATGGCTTCAAGTGAGTACAAAGAGGGACCATAACGCTACTCCCACAAAACGCCGTTGAAATAGTAACAAACGTTTTACAGTACTCAAATGCATTTCTGTATAGTATTATTATTTTTTTTTTTTTTTTTGATAATTCTTTTTCTTTTTGAGATCTGCTTCAAATGATTCATGCTCGACACTTGTTGTGACAAATGGAGAGATGCATTTTATGATCCCCTTTGCATATGTTTTGTATATAAATTGACTATATTACTTATTCTTATCATCTTTACTTTTTCATATTTGTCATTATTATTTTCATTTGTTAATCTGTTTATTTATATTTTAATCACAAAATATCTTTCCAATTAGACAACAGACAAAGTCAAACTGCTTGGTTATTTATCTACTTACTATAGAGAATCCTTTCATTTTTCAAAATTCAAAATGAGGTCGAAAGTTGTCCTTTTGTGGTCTTTGCGTATTATTTTTTGAGGTTAAGAATCAAACTCGTTTTTGTTTTATATTATCACAGGTCAGTGAACACGTCTACGGCCACCACAGTAAGCGGGGCGACCTCATTTTACCATGTACAAGGCTTGGATAACAATATGGTTTTCCAGGGAGATGTGAGGTAATTATATTACATATGAATTGATATTACCTGGAATCACACTTTGCCAGTGAAATACACATTTAAATTGTTTTGACAGTGGTAATAATTATAGTTTATGACGAAATTTCTACCATACGTTCCCAATTGTTTTAGGTATAGATAAGTATTGTTACCTTAAATTAGGTTTAATAAAAAATAAGGACATCTTGTACATTGTAAAACTTATTTATGTACATTCTGGTGTATCTTATCATTAACCTATTACTATTTATTCCCGTCTAGTGCCACGTGCCCAAACAACAGCGCGGTGTCTCTGACATGCGTAGAAAAAGGTAAGAAATGCAGCATTGCACTTACGTAACTTTGTTATTACGTATCCAGCTCAAGCTACTAGTTTACTCAATAAGAAGTGTTTTCAGATATATTGTTCCTGCCCCCTCGTTTGTTGAGAATAGTGGTTGTGAAAGAAGATATGCTATATTACCAGTCGCTTTAAAGATATATCAAACTACAAAACTGGTCGTTGAACATGTATTTTGTTCCAGGTATTTATGCTATGCACATCTTATGCTGAATGATACTTAAAAAAAAACACATTATGTTCCTTTTTTATTTACAGATTGCGGTGAGCGAGTAAGGTCATCACTGTCGACGTTCGTGGTTGGAGGAAATTACGTCCAGGATGGCACGTGGCCTTGGATGGCAGCCATTCACTATCTAGGCTATCATCACTGCGGGGCTGCTATCATAAGTAACCAATGGCTGCTGTCGGCTGCCCATTGTTTTGACTTGTAAGTGGGATTGGGGATTTTCCATAGGCATAGAATGAAGCTATAAGAATAGACAAATCATCGAATTGGCAAATATTATTTGTAGAATAACAATACAATAAAAAAAGTAGCAACACAAAAAATTTAACGATATGAATCTGATAATCCAGACACTTTTTTTATATTTTATTAACAAAAAATAATAAACGCCATTCCTATTTAAAGTACGTTGATTTGTTGACTTATTCTGACAAATTCAAGTAAGGTAAAAATATACATGGGTAACTTTAAGTGCATATCACAGTTACTAAAATTAACTTTCCACTTTGTCTTCCAGGTTGAAGCACAAGGCGCCTTACAAGTTTGAAATCATCATCGGAACCGTCAACCGTCTTCAGCCGGGGGCGGGGGCAATCCGCGTGCGTCCAGAACGCATCATCGTCCACCCCGAGGGAAAATTCGATACTCAGTTCAATTCTAATTACTCTTATGACATTGCCCTTGTGAAGCTTCCCTATCCGCTTAACTTCACGGATAACATCCGGGCTGGATGCGTACCGGATGCAGCTTATACGCCACTGCCCAAACACTGTTTCATTGCCGGATGGGGGAATACGGATGCTGACCACAATTGTAAGTATTGGATATTATTTTTCTTCCTTAACCATACAAGCGCAACTTTGGATTAGATTTTGCATTTTAATGCCCTTTTGACTAAACATATATATGACGTCTAACATGGATACTATTTATACGCATTCAATGTCGGAACAACGAAAAAGTTAATAATCTTTAAAAGCCTGGCTTTTTTATCATAAAAAGAGCGTATTTCAGCTTGTCGCGTAAGTTACTGCTTTTCGAGAAATCGTTTCAAAATTCTAAAAACTTTCACAATGTCTATACCAGCTTACCCGCAAGCCGTACTAAAAGAGGCGAAGATGACACCAGTCACGGAAGCCACGTGCAAAGCCTCCAATTTGAATCTTCTCAGGAATTACGACTTTGACCGTGTGTTCTGCGCCGGATACGGAAATGGCTATATTATGGGATGTGGGGTAAGTTGTTTGACCGTTGTACGCTACTAATTGCCGTTAGGTTCACTAAAGGTGAAATACATTGAGTTGTAGGCCTGCGGGTCATCCATACTCAATGAACAGTAGTTGATTTTTTTCATGTTTTTGACAACAATAGCAACAATCGAATGGGTCTCACTCATTCTCTCTCTCTCACACACACACACATTTTCTCTCACTGTCCTTCCCCAGCTGTGTGTGCATTTAATTGTGTCTCACTGTTAAAGAACCGATGATGATTAAATACATTTATTTATTTATTTATTTATTTATTTATTTATTTATTATACATTCATTATCTATTTAATTGTTCTAGGGTGATAGCGGCAGTCCTTTGATGTGCCAGGACAAGTTTGGCAGGTGGAACATTCAAGGTGTTCTCAGTTTTGGGGGTTCCGGCTGCAACCGAGACGGGAACTTTCTCTACAATGTTTTCTCCAGGGTGACCCATTTCACGGACTGGATCAACGGGGTTATAGGATCTGAATAAAACTAACTTCATGCAAGGCAGTGACAGACACTTACAGTGGTATTTAAAGAAGATGCTCCCAAAATGTCACCAAGCGGAAGATTGTTGAAGAATTCTGTTAGGAATATTTATCTATTGTCAAGTGTCATGGGCGGGCACTGATTTTTATTTATTTATTTTATTTATTTATTTATTTTTGTTTTGTTTTTTGGGATGCTTTAAGGTTATGATCACTGCTGTATCAACTGCTATTCAGCACTGAATATTGTCGGAAATTCCGTACAAAGGACGAAAAGAAAAATGATATGTTATTTTGAATTTTATTTTATATTGATGTACGCAAATGGCACTTGGTATTTTTTTTTTATAAAACTGAGCTCAAGTCTAATCGGTGCTGCCTCATAAAAACATCCAAATATGGAAATAGTGTTTATAAGTAATCGCTTCAGCATAATCATCAATGAGATTTACGAAAATTTCTTTTAACTTACTAACATCAATGAAGCACTTCACGTGTGTTTCACAAATTTGCATAATGATTTATTATTACATGCCTAGCATCTTAAAAGTTAATGTTGTTAAAATATGTTGTAAAAGTAAACAGGTTACTTAATGATTTTAGAATTAATGATAGCCAGCACTGTGGCTTTAGTAGGTATAGGAATATTTAAGAGTACATGGTATTTTATTGCACTTAAAGGGTGTGCACGAATGTAACCATTTAAACACCAAACCAAATGCATTTTTCACATTTCTATGTTTTATATTGAAATTCATATTAGGACGCGTTTAGTTTTACCAACACTTTCACTTGTATTTGTTTGCCGTCGTCCGAAATATCTCTACATATATCTCTAGCATATATCGTTATAATTTACTTTAGTTTTTATATGTCCATGTTATGCTTTAATGTTTTATGGGAACAAGGGATTTTTTTGTTTATTATGTATCTTCTTTACCTATATATTTATATACACACACATATATACATATGGGATAATGTTTTATGAAGTCTGTAACATATGTATTTACATGAATTTTATTACTTTGCACTTTCATATATTTTACTACATTTGACATGTATAATGTAAGTAACATTTCACTATTTAAAAAACAGCCTGAAAAAGCAAAACGTTTATCACACCAAGATGTTGACATCCAGCGTATGGCGCTATATATACCCGTCCAACGTGATGGTGTGGGGTGATGCCTATCCACTCGAACAGCTGAATGAATATAGTATTCAATATTCATTTGTTATCCAGATGTTATATATATATATAACACGTGACAGTCGTGATAGATATCACGTTATTTACATACCTGTAACACATAACATATCAAATATGTTATATGTTACGCGTATATAACATACAGTGTATCACAACTGTTATATACAAACCACATGACATATATCAAAATATCATACCACTGCATGTAAAGTGGTTAATCTAGACATTCTGTACATTCCACCCTGTTTTTATTTTTTTTTAAAGAAACAGGGAATATCCATTCATGCTAAGTTGGTTGTGATTTAAAGATTTGTCAATATATTCGAGTAGTGGTCAGTATAGATAAGTTCGCTGTTATTCTTATGGTCACTTAACCGTGGTCTAATAACAGAAAAGCAAATGACTGCATGTTCGGTTAAATACATTAAGGCTATTTTTATTTGTATTTCAAACAATGGACTCAAACCCACTTACTAGTGTTTCGTGTGCATGCGAATATTATCACGAACAGCTTTATTATAAAACATATGAAAAATTACAACGTCCGACATCAATAGCAATTTGCTCAAATCAAAAACATTTTATGACAAGATTTATAGATTGTTTATGTTGTTACGTCACTTAGAAATTTTTATATTATCAAAACTGGAATTAGACATAGCCTACATGTATGCGCATCATAATGGAATTGGCATTATTTTAATCATGTAGAGTTCGCATATAATTTATGTATCTCAGTTAATAAATATGTCTCTCTGCATCTCTGACATGCACGTATGCGTCGTTACTTCATGCATCAAAATATACATATCAAAATGGTAATTGTGTTCTGTTTTTGTTATTAATGCCCTAAATATCACCTTCATAAATAAATACAACAAATCCATATATATATTTAAAGGAGCAGTTTTAGAAGAGAGACCGATTTGGTTTATGACTTGACATGTCGACTTTATTTCAGTCGTATAAGAAACTAGTAGATGTGGTTTAGTCCACGCTCCCTTGAAATGTTTAAAAGGGCTGTACCAAACGGAACCTGCGTAAATTGTCTCGAGTCGAAAAGTGTGAAAGAAGAATATTAATACTGCGACCTGTAGGCGCCGCCACGGGTTAACACAAACGATATACCCAATAACTAGTCATAAGCATTTATTAAAGCATTTTCAACATTGTTTCATTTTCCAGTTAACGTCACAATGTTTCTTTTCTTTTGACAATAATAAACATACCGTAGAACCATACACATTTTGGTGCTTTACGCTATAGAAGCTCCTTTTCTGTCTTTTCTGGACTTGACGATAGATGGCGCAATAGTATCTTTAAGGCTGATACACCAGATATTTCCCCTTGTACATCTCGCACTCCCCGTTATTGTGATGTGCCCTCTTTTTGACACAGTAACCATGACAACAACGCTTATGGAAATTGCAGCGATCAAACAGTTCTACGCATGTGCGATTGCTATGGCGTCTCTTGAAAAGGCTAAGGAGGCTGGAAAATTGGAAAAATATCTGAAAACTAATTTTACATTATGCTATCTAACTTACTAACAAAATTGTTACTGATTATGTGGAAAAAAATACACAGCCAGTTTTCAAATCAATCAATTAGAAATGTTTTTAGAATTACATTTAGCAAGGTAAGATAATAATAATAATAATAATAATAATAATAATAATAATAATAATAATAATAATAATAATAATGAACTGATGCACAGTCTTATAATACCTGTTTGATTTTTCCAGATTGGAGCCTGGTCTCGATTCTGTAATTAAAATAATGATTATATAAATATTTTTTATAAAGTTAATTTTATCTATTTATTATTATTTATTGTTACGGACAAACACGTGATTAGCGAATGGCAAAGTGATAATATGTTTTAAATTATATCGTTCAGAATATTATAAGTCGTGGAATAACCTTTTAAAAGGCACAATCACTCAGCAAGTTATATATGCATACATTTGAAGAAGTGCATCTCCCGCTATGATTTAAGTCGAAAAAATAATTATCTTTTTCTATAGGAAAAAATAGACAGTAAAAGTAAGTATGAGACACGTTACCTTCGTCAGCGAACGCACATGCGCATATGGCAGCCAATACGCAAATGACAAGAACAACTTTAACTCTCATGCTGTGCGTCAGATGTTCTTACAATCGATGCAAAATGTGTCTTTGGTCGACCTGGGCAAATAGAATAGACGCAGGGCAGTTGCGTGCCACTTATATATAGCAAACGTCAGGTACAGATACTCTGTATAACCGGAGATTAGGATTACTAGGATTAGATTACTAGCAAATTATAAGTGATTACGACCTTCATTATCATATAACGAACCGAGTACAAATTATCGGAGCCGACTATAAATCATCTTCTACACACTGTGTCAATTTGCAGAAATACAAACTAGTAACAAGGGAGATAAAGCTGCAATCCCGGTCAGAGCACAAGGAGTAAAATTCCCCGAGCAAATGCAGGACTTACAAACGGATAAGGCGTTTACTAGCACTACCTGCAGATCTTTTAGCACTAACACCCATATTAACCACCTTACCCACAGATTAACCACCACTACCAAAGTGGGTGAATGTTAGTGCAAGGTATCGCTTTCTTGGTGCTAAATAATTGTACAGTGTGCCATTTCATTTAAGGTTGGGCTGCGATTTCATGTTATGGTTCAATCTGAGAGCGTGTTTCGTTTCTGGCACACGGCACCTCCGGGAGATCAATCCAAGAACCAAGAGAAAGAGCTAAGCTAGAAGTAGTCCGAAGGTGATAGTATAGATCAGTCAGTAGTTCGCTGTTCACGCCTGGTTATATGTGTAGTTTGTAACAATTGATGGGCATGGCAGGTTCAGTTCCGATCAATGCAATACTGTGACTGATCAGGCCTTGATAGTTACATTTAATCTTATAAAGGTATAAAATCCGCGATTTTTCAGCCAAATCTTTTCGAAAAAAATAGCAATTTTTTCCTACTCTGGAATCATTGCTTGGTTTGTCACTGCATTTGGGTCCAGCTGTTTTAGACGTTCAAATTCTATTCATTACCCAACATTCCCCGTCATATGAAGCTATGGAAAAAACTAGAGTTGAGCAGTCTCTGCTTTTTGTGAAGAGAAATGTTTTTGGTTATTCCAGACCTTAGTTTCCTAAACGTTAAGAAAAAGAGCAACTTTCTCGCTTTTTTTCTCACCCTGTCATCCATTTCTCGAAGTTTGGACATAGAGCTTGCAAAAGGGGCTATATCATCGACATATCTCAGGTTTGACAAATTTATTCCTCCGACTTTGACATTTCTTTCGTAATCTTCAAGAGCGTTCCTCATAATGGACTCAGAGTTGAGGTTGAAGAGAGAGAGAGAGAGAGAGAGAGAGAGAGAGAGAGAGAGCAAAAAACATTAAACAGATACGAACCTCACCGACACTAAAACATCCAAAGACATAATTATCGAGTAGCTTCATTTTCTATGCAATTCTCATTTTTTATTAGTACACGTTTCTGAAGTGCCATGTACTTCATGTCAATTACCTGTGGCAGGATATCAATTTTCGTTCGTCAATTTCCCCCAAACCAGGTCGTCCACCCATCAAACAGGTCGGGAAAAGCAACAATTATCTTGTCATTAGAAATAATACACCATATCCGTGAAACAGTATGCTCTAAGCTTGATTGTCCACGGGCAAACCAGTACGTTTAGAGGACAACTCTCCACACTATAATAGTGGCCAAAGATAAAATTGTGTATATATACGTAGATATTTTGATTTCAGCCAGCTCAATCCCAATTCACATACAGACTATATTATTGATGGGAATGCTTTGGCTTTGCTCCAATACGTGCATATAATTAGTTGTTATCATTTGATATAACGTGTTTGATATCAATGCAGTATGTACAGTATCGTGAGAAAATGTCTAATGTTTCCAGCATTCAGGTATGCGTAATGCCTAACGCGTGCCGCTGCCGTTTTCATATAGATGCACGCGGAGAGTAGACACATGTAGGGGAGTTATATTCTCTAACCACAGGGTGCACTAGTAAATACACGTTGTATTGAACACAGTGTTATTTTTTATAGTATTTTAGGAGTCCTTAAAATCAGAGGGTAGACAAGTTGCCTGCGTCCTTTAAAAGTCAGGGCGTACATCCCCTTCCAAATTAATTAATTAATTAATTATCGGTGTTAGGATTAAGCAGTATTACACAAGACAAAATTGTACTCAGACACTCGAGACATTCCGTTGAAATTTTCTTTACTTCCATCATCTGACCATTTTATCACCTTCTGTTCAAAAGGAAGACGGTGTTTCCGGACAAGCCTTGACGTTTTTCCAAGAGTCGGGATTAAAAGAAACCGAATACTCGTCAGAACTGTACAAAATGTGCAACCGCGTAAATAGGTCGCGCTCGGAAATATATCACTTTTAACCATCACTGGAGAATTATACTCCTACACTATTCTGTACTGCAGTAAATTTTGAACGCTGATTGACATGGAGAGAAGCTGTTATGTCATTAAGAGGCGGACTAATGCTCCTACTTAACTACTTGTTGGCAGGTATGATAGGTTTGTAATGAGCTCACCGCGTCTTGCAGCAAGTTCTTTGGCATGTGTATTAATGATTCTGATCCAAGTGCGCGTGTCAGCGTGGCAGAGGCTCTAATTTCGATATTCGTGTTGTTTTAAATATAGCCCTGCTGTGGCTTCATGGACGTCGTTTCTTTTCGAATGCCGTATCGCCTTTCAGTATTATGTACCTGTTTTGATCAAAATAACCACGAATATAACTCTCCTCTGCCTGTGCTAAGGAACCTAGAATTGTTGATATAAGGAGACTATTGACCATTATCATACTCAAACCGTTTTTTCAATGAGTATTTTTTAAGTATTTCGAGGACGATTACTATGGTTTTGTAGGCAAAACGCATACCAAGCACATGCATTGCATAGAAAGGCATGCTGACATTAATCACGATTATTTGATTCTTTTCAAAACGATAAATTAATCTGGGAATTACCGTAATGTATCTCCAGGCACAATTAACCCATCATAGAGTCTGTGAAAGATGACTATTAGCACCGCAATGCGTCCCCTGCCAGTCATTTGCTTGATACAGTAATGGTAACAGTCAGTCGAACAGTTTTGGCTTTAGAAATGCTCAGTCAGTGTCAAAAAGAGGCTAGGTGGTGTAAAAAGAGAAATTGACATAAAGCTTTTAATGAGAATAATACCGTTGGATTTTACGATTTCACAATTCCTTCAGAAATGGGGAAAATCAAAAGGTTGAACGGAGAGTGTGTAGACACATAAACACGCACACATACACAAAAGGAATATGCCCTTTTTATTTCAATTGTGATTTAATATACTTATCCTTTCTTTAATACTCTGCAGAGAAATATAAGTAAAAAATTCATTTAAAATATCCAAATGCTTATATTCTCATAGTCTCGTATGTTATTGGCACCAATAACAATGTACATGGGTATTAAAGGATATCAGCTGTTCATTTGAATTTAACTGCCACAAAAGTAAAATACTCGTCAAACAATAAGAAAATAAAAGAAATGTCGAAATAATATTTTGCTTGAAATGATAAAAAAAAAAAAAATTGGAAACTCTCCGACTTTAGTGCCGATTTTTAGGACCCATCTGCCGTCAGTAGAGAAAATAGACGAAAGATGTCACTAGTGATCTGAATCTGAATATCATAGTGTTTATTTCCTTGACCATTTACACCTTATATGAAAAAAAACCAGAAAAATAGCATACAGAGCACAGAGGATGGCCGTTTGACTAGTACAATATGCCAGTCGATTGGCAAAGAAACAAATGAATACAGAAGTCCATTTCTAACTAAAAAGATCATTTAAGTGGTAGACGTAATCTCTTCGTCGAGATCGTTGTTCTCGTTCTTTGATATAGAGTGATGAGACAGTCTGACGTTGGGTATGGACGAGAGATGGCGCTGATGTTTGTGCAAAGGTGATGATCCTCTTCGTGTCAACCTAGGTGAGAAAAAAATGGACATTGATAAAAAATAAACGCACTCAAATAATATTTTAAATTACAATTTAAAATTTAAAACACTATTTTGTCTTCAGTTGAACAAAAGAGAGTAACGTGATCGTATGCATTTATGATGTAAAACGATGTAAAGATCCTTACTACTGCTATTTTAACTGTTTGATGGAACGGAAGTGTGCACAGACAGTACAGGATTTATCTTTTTTAAAAATATATACATATATACACATATACAGGGTATTTAAGAATGTTCCTTATAATTGGTAGCTCTTTACCATCACCTATGAGTGTCGAAGTTGTGTCTCATGGACGAATAAAACTATTTGTAAGGCCGTATGGAACATGAGAACATCATCCCCTAATGGCTTAAGGTTATCACAAGTGCAAATAACTCAGTCGTAACCATGGGGACGCACGTACACAAACGCTGGCAGCTTGTTAATAGGTGTAAAATATGGCATGGATTTAAATATACTGAAGGTATATTGCGAAGATATATGTGATGAATTAGACGTGTTTCACCCATTCTCTAATTATTTTCCATACTTTCTCTTTCTCTTTTTCTCTTTATTTTATTTATAATTTATTTGTAAGCATGCTCTATTCTTGTCTTTAAACTCAGTGCATTAAAACGTTGGACTAACTTGGCCGGGAGGTACATGTAACATTCCCTTTAAACATTTCCATTCTTCTTTGTAATGTGCACCACTTAGGTCAGCTTGTTGCTAACCTCTGAGTAAGCAGAAAATAAATACTCACTGGACTGAAATATCCCCCCCAAGCAAACACATATCGTTATTATAACGTTACCGTAACTTTTTTTTTGCATCATCGTTATGGTAACGTTATAATAACGTTATGGTAACGTTATAGTGACGTTATACGTTTCCTGGACTCTCGGTAAAACCACTCGAATTATTTCACGTAAGGTTTTCCAAAATTCAGCTACCAGAAGAGACATCTGGTGGGTGTATGGATTACCTTTTATGCGTACTCTGGGTGGAACAAACCAAAGAGATCCTGGTTAGGTTTCATTCGTTTCCAAGGATGATTTTCCTCTGGATAATTAAACCTTTTCCAAAGATACCTAAACCTCTCATCCTCCCTTTGTGTGTCGTCTGTGTCAAAAAACGAACGCTTTGTCTTGACTGAAATAAAAAAGAAGACGAAAAGGCAAAATATAAATTTTGTTTTATCTACCAGAGATCATTTAAGCCATTTTACGGAATTGGCTAGGGTTTTTTCTAACAATTTGCTATTTACTACAAGGATCACTTGAAAAGCAAATAGTTTGCACCATGAAACAAAATTGCTTATTGATGTTTCCAGAACCTGGACTAAAAATCGGTGTTCTAATTGTGAAAAAGAATGTTTAAGTAAATATACTAAGTATATTACTGACTATTAGTAGACGACGACTGGGAGAAGTAGATTTCCCTGGAGAAAACGAGAACTCAAAAAGGGATTACAAAACTCTCAAAATCTGTCAAAGCACACCAACAATCTAATTTTAAACAATTGCATTTCATCTGTGGCTGTCCTGTCCTAGTTTATTGCCATAATTATCGTCTGTAAAACAACAAAAAAGATACAAGATATGGAGACAAAGACAGACATAGAAGGAACAATCAATGTTCTTAGAAGACAGACGCTTGACCAGGCAGTATGGCAAATTGAAAATGCCAAGAAATCGGTCAAGTGAAAGTTGACTATCTCTATCATTTCCTCAGCTACTCAGACATCCTATCAGTGCGATTGCTTTGGCCGGCTTAGATACTTGGCACGCCGTGTTTTCGTTTCAACATTGTAAATCGTCGAGTTTTCACTCTCTCTCTCTCTCTCTTTCTCACACGCATATACGCTCCCTCTCTCTCTCTCTCTCTCTCTCTCTCACACACACACACACACACACACACACAATAACAACAAATCTAAGATATCAGCCGGATATATCAATACTGTACACTATACGAAGTGACCGCTGTAATAAATAAATGAAAAGTAATGTTTGCACAGTCTATAATATGACAGGCGATTTCTTGTTTATTTTCACAATTCGCTTTTCTTTTTTCTTTGGATTGTAATAACATCTTGTCCAGTAATTCGTGTGCCTTTCTTAAATATGCCTTCTTCCAATTCTGATCTTCACTCTAAAAGATATTAAACATATGGTGGCATATATGTGCAATCAAAGTAACCTCACTTGACGTCTTGGGTTTTGGAAGCGGAATAATTTGACGGATTTAGAAATATTTGAAATTTTATATATTACTCTTTATAAAATCTCAATAAGGTATGCATCACCATCATTATTATTAAGCCCTTATTATTATTATTATTATTATTATTATTATTATTATGTCTAGTGCGTGTGTTCTTCTTGTGTCAAGAAGAAGATTACTTAACACCTTGTCTTTTTTTTTTTTTACTTCTCTGCATAACAGCGAAGATATCTCTAATGAGTTTCTATGAGTGTGAATACGACTTCCCCAGTCGCTCACGGACACATTGGCGCTATTGGCACTTTTCAAATGGTCGCGTTTACACGGAGAAGCCAGCGTTCCCTTCGAACCGGATTGGCAGCCAAGATTGTCTTTTACTCAACACATTTTTTAGTAAAACTTCATTTTCTACAAGATGAAGACATTCACTGAAACACAACCATGAAGACGAATTAATTGCCTCAAATTAGAGATGGAATTGACTCAAAACCGACTCCAGCCATTTTTTCACTTGCAGAAACTGTTGGTAAGCGGTACCGAAAGACGATGGACATTGCATTGCTCACTATCCTACCAAACGAAGATGTCATTTCCGATAGTATGCACGATGGTTACGGACCTTCGTGACGATATAAAATACCACCAAGTCTGAGTCAGGAATGGAAAAGGAATCTACTCCAGTCTCCGGCGACATACGATTGTCACTGGTCTCAGCAGCAAAATATAAACTGAGCGTTTAAATCTTTAAAAGAGCAATCCCGATACATCTTTTGTGTTGAGAACTGAAACCAGTTTGGTCATCCGAATCGAATAACTGACCGTTTTGGAACAACAATAATGACAGACAATATGTATTTGACGCATTATGGATACATTGCATATTTGCATTTTTGTAAGAAATGAATCTTGTTTGATTAGGCGTAGCAGCATTACTATTGTCTCACAAATGACATCCAAATTGACCAACGTTAGAGAGACTTGGTTAGTTACCTTAATATCCCTTTTTATTACTTCACAGAAACAACAAAAGTATCGCCGGTTTTTCAGGTTTTGTACTTTGTTTTTGTTTCAGTGTTTACCAAGTTAATAACGTATTTGTACCCAATAGACAGCTCCGTCACCCACATAACACACGCTCTCAGACATCAATTTAAATCAACCAAAAAGACACAAGGTAGGTATCACGTAAACCATCAAGCGCCTGGTTAACTTACATAACGCGAGCCTATGTTACCTTGAACTCTGATGTAAACAACAAGAGAAGATTCCACTGTAATTTAAATATGGTTAAAACTGATCGTTCTGAGATTTTTTTTTTAATAAATTAGTCTTTTTAATTTTAAAGTTCCCTTAGCCTATTTAGGTGATTTAGAAACGATTAAGTTTTAATATATTTAACTCTTACCCAAATTAAAGTTCCAGTAGTCAAAACTGAACGTTCTGAAAACTTTTTATTAACAAATTATTTTAAGTACTTTTTAGGGCATTAATTAAGAATAGTTTTAACTACAAGATATTAAGTCCATTTAGTTCAATTCTCTTTTAGCATTGTTTATCGTCAACATCGGGTTGCAATTTTCCCGCATCAACTGTTATCATGATAAATAAGACAGTTATGACAATGCGCGCTCTGACGTCTGGCGAGCAGCTAATCACTTTGAACTACATGTCGCGCGTGATAATTAATATAAACTGGGTTGAATTTACGCAATCTATGTGGGTTTCGCGTCATTATAATACGTAAATTATAAGTGGCATTCATGCGGATAAATCCACGTGGAATCTACGTAGGTATATGCAAAAGGTTTTTTACGCCTACATCCAAACTCTATACCCTAACATATTGTGCTTCACACATTCAAAAATTTAAATGGTGTTTTATCCAAAGTAACTATTTTTGGTGGTGTTGGTGGCGGTGGTAGTGGTGGTGGGGGGGGGGGGGGGGGGGGTTGTTGATAAAAGTAAAAAAGAAAAAAAAACTAGCTAGTTCGCACGATGCCCCCTTGTTAACCTTTAACCTTTACAGCCAATATTTTTTATCAGTGCAGAAAGACCATCATGTAAATTTTTTAAACACAGAAATATAAAAAATAATAAACCCGTGAATCCAGCTTACGCACACTTACACACTCTCTCAGTATGAATATACATCAGTATATAATGTAATCAAACAAATAAATGAATACATAGATATAAATGCACTCTCTGATACACAATTCTAATGTTTTCATTTATTTGGGTTCCTTTGTAAATGTCTCCCTTAAACGGAGGCTTAAGTTTTGAATCTTAGACAGTTTAACGGCCAAATATACGCCATTTTTGGTTCATGTAATTACCAGCGTGATATTTGGATTACGCCATGGTCATGTCGAAGAATATGAATGTTCTTATAAAATCTGTGGTGTGCATATTATTTAAGATTTAATAGGTCCACAGCAAACATAAATACATGTGTACAACGTTCTCATTAACTGTAGAATTTCTAATCGCTTTCCCTCTTTAAAAATGCAAAATTATGTGACATTGTTTCGCTTCTTCAGCTAATCTGCAAATCACAGAGACTGCTAACTTGAAACAAGCAGGAAATTAGAACTCAATTCTAAATACCTAATTGGCAATATATTACAGTTTTCGAAACTTTTGCTTAACAAGAACTCAGTTTCAGGTATTTGTTTCTTTTTCAATCTCCTTCTCTCTATTTCCCTTTAAGTAAGGGTAAACCAAAACAATGAAAAAAAGGAAAATATTTTAATATTTTGGCAGATTCGGTCTATCTCTTGCGACACTGCAAGACTGTATGCATCCAAAGTTAAATTCAAATAAACCGTTCAAATACTATACATTTTACAATAGCAAATTCGTTATTATAGTACATACATACATACATACATACATATATATATATATATATATATATATATATATATATATATATATATATATATATATATATATATATGTCAAACACAAAATTTGATTAAATAATAACAATTAAAACCACTTACGTGCAGGTAAACTGTGGCAGTTTTCAACAAAAAGCGCGACAAGAAGGCCGCAGACGATCAAAATCACAGCTACGGACAACCGACTCATCTTTCCTGAGAGACGTCTCAATAACAGGTCGTCTGCTTCAATAGACAGGTGTTTCTTTGAGTGTCTAAATCCGTGTCGACGTTTACTTATATGCTCATTTCTGGCGTCTCTTCGCTTGAATCGTTTGCCATAGCGCTATCAGTAACACGAGCAGCGTCTTCTTGTAACGACCAATCAAAACGCACCAATTGATCAACTGCGCGTCGTGGCTATCTTACGTGTGGGTCGTGTGTCAGAATACGCAGAACCTCCACTATTGATTAATGGCAGGTCTCGGCACCATCTCCTACTTTAGCTTTTGGCAATTAAAAAAGAAAACATTCCCCGATGAGCATCTCTTCTCTGTAACAAGGACATTTTTGTCTTCCCCGCCAACCATTGCAGGTCTCGGGGGTAAAATGAACAGATAATTTGACCGTTAACGTCTGCTAATGAAAGTACATAATTTGCAATCGTTTTGTGGCAATGGTTCACTAACACACTAGAGACCCG